TCCTCAAAAATGGCACAATATTGATAACAGTGCATTGGTCATGATGTATTTTGTGTTTTCCTTGGAACGCACCAATTTTCCTCCCCAGGTTGGGTTTCCACTGCTGGCTTCTCAGTGCTGCTGCCGGGCTGCAGGAGGCAGTCTGGTGGAAGAAAATAAATTGGGATTCAGTGAATTGACCTCTGAGTAAGGAGCGGCTGAACGAGCTCCCACCCTCCTCTTCCTGATGGAGTACTCTGTGCTAACTTTCACTTTCTGTCTTCTAAAAAAAAACACCCTGCCTTCTGCTACAGCTTTGGAGCCTGCCAAACCTGGAACTAATGCTGCCTTGGGAACCTGTGTGCTTTAGCATGAATTCATTTATATTGCTCCAAAATAAGGAATTATTCTGTAATGTAGCACTAGGGGCAAATGGTTCTGATTTGTAGCACGGTTCCCCAGATAGCCAGTTCTTAACAGACTGATTCTTAACAGAATCTTCTTTTTCCTGGGCCAACGTTTGATTTTCTGATTTCCCTGAGTAGAGTTGCATGATTTGTGAGATAACCTTGATTTTTGAAAAAAAAAACACATAAACGCAGGGACTGTGTTTCTACCTGGAATCAGGAGGAACTGTTTTTGCAGGATTTAGATTTAAAAAAAGAAGTTCAATTCTTGGCAATAGTTTGGACACGAGGGGTTTCAGTCTCTTCTGTTGAACGCAGTCCTCCTTAAATTCTTTTCCAGGCATGTTTTTTGGGTGAGCTTTTTACTGAGTGTGAAGTTACTGTGTTGATGAGTATTAAAGATGTGTTTATGGCACTGTGAATTTATATCTTTACATGTAGTCAGTCTGTTTTATTGAATTCCTCCCTCAAGTGGAAATACGAAGTGTTGTGGCACGTAGGAGCATTGTTGCAATGCTGTGAAGTCATGGAAGATCTAAGCCTGCTACTTGGCCTGCATAATGTTTTTCCATTTGTGCATTAGTTAAGTAAAATCACTACCAAGAAGTTTGCGGTCCTTCCAGAGTGCAAAATAGGGGATTCACTCAGAAGTGTGCTGGATGTAGCTTTCTGCTCATCTTGTGAAGGGTTTGTGGGGGGAATGTAGCATTACTGTGCTATGCTGCCAATACTAAGGAAGATTTGGAAAGTGCAAAAAATGTTTTATGCCTTTACTGTTAAATGCTGGCAATCGAAATCTGTGTTCAAAGTACCAGCCAAAATCCATTCTCTCAAGAAGTAGTGAGTTTTTTTTATTAAATAAATTAAGAATGGAACTTTATAGTAAATTGGCAGTGCCTGATGATGTCTTGAACTCTGACAAATTTTAGCTATCGTGTTTCATCTCTTGATTGCAGATTCAGTGAGCTGAAGGACCTAACCTCCTCATCTTTCCTTAATATCAGTGGGTAGAATTTATGCTATTTTTGGTCTTTTTATCAAGCCTGGGATTTATTTCTGTTCTGGAAATCTCCAGGAATGTCACCTAGGTTGCATGCATGCAACGTTGCTTCCTTTAGAGTTTTATGGATTGCTTGAAAGGTTGGATTTCAAACATCCTTAAATATTTGGTGTGTAGAAATAAATTCTTAAGTATAAGAATACATTGTCCAGATACTCTTATGTGCACTAATATCAGCTCACTAGTTGATCAGTTGAAACAGTGTCTTTGTAAATAATTAATCATAGAATTAATTACAGACCTTAGGATCATGAAGTCCAACTATGAACCTAACCATACCGAATCCCATCGCTGTGCCGTGTCCCTCGGTGCCATGTCCACATGTCTCCTAAGTACCTTCAGTGGTGGGGACTCCTCCAATGCCCTGGCAGCCTGTTCAAATGCCCGGCCACCCTTTACTTGAAGAATAGATCTCTTCCTAATTTCTGGTCTAAATCCTCTCTGGTGCAGTTTGGGGTCGTTTCTGAGCATCTGCAGTTATTATTTTTTTCTTTTTTTAATAGGCACTGTGTACATGGGGAAGTTCTGTTATTTAAGTGGTCTAACAACATTTATTGTTAGATTTAAAACCAAAGCTAGCTGGGAGAGAGAAGAAACCTTTAACTTTTAGGCTTCGAGGTTCATTGTCATTACTTTCATCAAAAGTATAATCTGTAAATGCTGGAAGAATTAAGCAGACAGTCACATGCGGTGTCTGAAGTCTCTGTGATTACCATTATATGTGAATAAACCTGACTTTTATTTTTCTCCCATTTGTTTTTCTGCTGTCCTGTGACTGACAGGATTAACCTGGAGCTGGGGCCTCTTGCTGCTAAGGATTTGAGTTGCTCATTGCTTGATGTAGTCAAAAGTTTCATCTGCGATTTTGGGTTACTGAATATCACTGGGATAGAAGTTGTTTATCAGCACTCTGATAAGTCATTGGGAATTCACTACAATGCTGCAGTTTTAGTCACTATTGATAACATTTAATTCCTGGCATGTCAGGAAGAGACACCGTCGAATCAGAAATGCTTTGTTTAAAGGAGGCTTGATTGGACATGGGGTGATGAGGAGTACGTTCTACGTCTGTGACAATGTCATTTTGTATTTGTTTTTTAGTAAGAGCTTTGGGTTGGCAATGTGTAAAGATGGCTTAAAAGAAAAAAAAAATAGGTAAACTGATAATTGAAAGACATGTTTGAGATAGTGATTTGAATGAACTTATTTCTAGCTCTGAACCAGGTGATATCTAGTTTGTTGTCCAGTGCAGTCAGGTGTGATCCAATGACCACATTTCTGTAGGGTGATAGTTCTAAGTTAGTGGTTTTTATATGCTATACTTAGCTATTTATCTTTTGACAGAAGCAAATTTATACCATGTTGGATGTGTTTGTGAAAAGGCTGCTGAGGAGGTGGAAACAAATTTGAGCATTAAGCTGGCAAAGCTCACAACAATACAGTACTTAAATTGAACATTTACGTACATCATTACCTCCAGCATCATCTTTTGTTTTGCTATGCAGGAGACCCTCCTGTGTGTGTTCCAACCAAGATATTTTCATGTTTTCATGCATTTATGCCATTTTAAGGAGTGGACTTTTACAACAGAAAGGAGAAAAACTTTATGATGAAATCTAGAAGGCTTTTTTTTCTGAATCACTTTACAGGACTGCTGTAGGTACATACTGCTTTTTGAACATTGCAGCTATGTACTTTGAAATCAACGTTATTACAGTGAGGTTCTGGGAGTTGGAGTGAGTTGTATAGAGAAAATATTATTCAGGTCTTTATAGATGTAAAGGATAGGGTTTTGATGGACTTGTTTATTTGTTTTGCATGTATTTTTTGTGTTTTTTATGTGCATTGCCTACCCCCAGTTGGTTAAGCATCTCTGTCATAGCTTTGTGCTGGCCAGTTTGGTGGTTCCCTATATCTGAAATAGTTGAAATAGTTGGCCTACCTCATCTTAGTCCTCTGTGAAGTGGACTTTAAGGGAATGAATCCATATTTGAAGTTGCTTTATTCTTGCTACTTTGTCTTAAGATGGTTCCAGGAAAAAATAATAATAAAAAATTGTGACATGGGCAGTCCTTAAAGAAGGTACTTGTTGGCTTTCAGTGATGCTGTTTTCCTAGCACTGCACATCCTTCTTGCTGTTTAATGGTGTGCTGCCTCAGTGGTTTTCTAGCAGAAAACTACATCTGAGTTCCAAGTCCTCTTGGAGATATGTGCGTGCTCTTTTCTGCACAGCTGCTCTCTGAAGAGCAATTCTGAATGTGCCAAGCAGAGCTAATGTTTTGGATTTGTTTATTCTTAAGGAATTGTTCCTAAAGTCATCAGTTTCTTTAATAGCAGCCTTTATGAAAATATTTAGGTTGAATGCAAATTGTATCAGCTTAAAACCCAAGTTGCAGTATGTTTTGCTAAGTCATCTCGCTCCTCCCTTTTCACGCCCCTTCCTCAAAGGCTAAGAAAAACTCTCCCTTTGTGATTATCGTGTCAGAAACCACAGAGCTTTTTACACGGAGGAGTCCTCTGGAAGTACCAGGCGTGGGGACATCTCTGTAATCTCAGTGGAGATCAACCAGTGGTTCATACAGTGGACATAGCAGCATCTGGGTTGCTAAATGGAAAAGTTATCTACTTCCAGCACTTGCAAGAGCAGTCTCTGCATGGGTAATAAAAAGAAACTTCCATTTTGTTCTGCCAAGAGTGCTTTCTACGCGAAGCAGCCAGAACGATCCGCTTCTTTCACTTGGCAAAGGGAGTGCCTACAGTAAAAGCTGAGATGCAAATAGCTGTGAAGGAAGTTAGTTTGAAAACTTGAGGCTCACCAGTTCTGCTTTTGGTCATGTTCTTGCTGGTGGTGCAAATCAGGCTTTTGGGTAAAAGGTAAGAGCACCACAGAGCAGCTGAGGTACCATGGCACTCATTTCTCTAGCAGCTTATAGGGGAGTGGTATTGAGAGTTCATGTCAGTGGGGACTCTTGGTCCAGCTGCTGTCATCTTTTTTTCCTTTTGTGCTGGCACTAATGGTAAGTTGGAGAATGGTTGTGACTGCAAAAGTTATTTATGCTACTCTTTTTTTTTTATTATAGCTGCTGGTGGAGGAAGGAGGAGGATCAAGCACGAGTGGGTGGAATAGTCACTCCTGGCAGTATTGTAGATTTATACTAGACTAGATCTTGTATCTACACTTTATGATTATGAATTATCTCAGGCCACGTTTAATGAGTTCCTTTCTTTTTTATCCATAGGGAAAGCATGCTCTAAGTTATTGGCATTTGTATTTGCAACTCCTTGAGCCACTACCTTTAATTTCATGTGAGAACTGTGCTGAAAGTCATCAAGTCGGTATAATTTTCATCTCAGAAGTTTCTCAGAGGTTTTAATTTAGGTTCTGTGTCTGAGATCCTAGAATTATAGAATGGCCTGGGTTGAAAAGGACCACAATGATCCTCTAGTTTCAACCTCCCTGCTATGTGCAGGGTCTCCAACCAGCAGACCAGGCTGCCCAGAGCCACATCCAGCCTGGCCTGGAATGCCTTCAGGGATGGGGCATCCACAACCTCCTTGGGCAACCTGTTCCAGTGTGTCACTACCCTCTGAGCAAAAAACTTCCTCCTCCTGTTTAAGATTTCAATAGTGTTTGCAGAACAGGGCTTTGCATGGCAAGAGGCATCTGTCACTAGGAGATGTGTTTGTTTTTTACTGCCTCAGGACTGCTGGAATGCTTGAATTCCTCCAAGTTTCTGAGCCCATAAATTTTCCTAAACCATTATGGTAAATTAACTTTGTGTGGACTGAATTCTGTCCTCAATGTTTGTTTAATCTTATTAAACTTATTAAGCCACCTATGTATTTTTAATTTTTTTTTAATAACTCCTGACAATACTGTCTTTTCCCTTTAAAATTTTGTTTCAGCCTTAATTTTGTGTGAGCTATCCATTCCTTTTCTCTCTGCACACGGATTTCTCTCTCGTCTCGTTGTACTGAATGAGCTCCTCATTGGTTGTGGCAAGCTGATCCTTGACCTGGAGAAGTAAACAAATCTACTTCTAAAAATACGATCTTTGGGATTTGTCCCAGTTATAAAATGCCTCCTTCCAGCAGGGCATTATCTGGCCATGTAACAGTGCCAATTCTTGCAAATGTTGCTCAATGCATGAAGGACCTACCGTCTAATGTTTAAACAAATGTAATATCATTATAAATAAAATTTTTCTCTAGGGTGAATTGTTTCTTGCGTCCAGTTAAAGCTTCCAAAGGAAAAAAAGCAATATAGCATTAACTTTTTTTTTGGTCTGCCTTCGTGTGTCCCTTAAATATGTATTAGAGTATAAAATCCAAATCTTCAAAAGTAACTTTTTCTCTAGTTATCAAAAGGTATTAAGACATGACTAAGTGTCATTTTGCCTTTCCCATGACATGCCATAGGACGCTGTGGGTATGAGTCGTCTTACAGCAAATGCGTTTTGTTGTTTAGTGCTGACATAACTGCACATCTGGCAACTTCTATTAGAAGTTTGTGTATCTTAACAGCGTCCAAAATCTTTCTCTCTGTTCAATTGGTTCGTTTTTTTCCCTGTTGTAATTAAGGAAGACAGTAGCTATGTTTTCTTCTGGAGTTGAGCCTCGTTTTGCTGCAAACTTAGAGTTCCCAGCTGAGTGAATAATCGTGCAGACTGATGCCTCAATCTTCCTGTATTGATGGGTTAGAGCAAGAGGGCAGTGTGTGGCTGTAAGCTATTTAGATGCGTTTTCTGCACTGGGCACGTGTCCATAAATCAGCTGATATTCCTGTGTTGCTAAATGACACGTTGTGATAGAAATGAGCTATCAGGAGAGGGAGTTTGAATTTTGTTCCCATGCCATACCAAATCCTGATGTATCTTCTGTGAAGCCAGTAGACAGCCATCTGCTCTTACATATTTGGAGGGGTCACCCCAGTCTAGCTTCTTGCCGTGTCCCTTGTGGTGCAGGATTGCTTGGGTATCACTGATAGTGCATTGATTTTGGTCTGCCCAATGTGGAAGGAGTGAGTTAATTTGTCTGTTAATGCTCAACCTCCAACTTAACCTCCTTCCCTTCTGAGCTTTTATACCAGTGTTGTTTTCCTCCTACACAGCAGATGTAGATGGCATGAGCCTTTTGTTGTCCTTTTCACATAAGTTTTATGAGCTGGCGAGATTGTTAGTTGGGCTTGTCCTGTTCAGCTGGTGCTGTCATTACCTCCCCATGAGGAATGATGTAACTATGTATTTTAACATATATATTTTTGTTTTTAAACTCATCTGGGAGGTGAATTGAGGGCTAGCCTTACTATGCAGGAAAGAGGAAGAGGTCCTTCATGAGGATTATCATTAAGAAATTGTTTCATTTTAGCCAACACACTATTCTGAATTTGTTAATTACCTAAATGCTGTACAATCTCACACTGTATGAAAGTAATTAAGATATTATCTTCTTGGCTGAATTTGAACATCTGATTCTTGTGTGTTGTTCTAGGCTTGTGGCTCGTGAAAAATACATGTTCAAATTTGGTGAGAGTTAGATGGTCATCTTAGAATCATAGAATGGCCTGGGTTGAAAAGGACAACAATAATCATCTAGTTTCAACCCCCTGCCATGTTTAGGGTGGATCTTCTATGCACCAGGAAAACTTAAGAAGGTTAGCAGCTCACTCGCTCTGTTCCAGTATGGCACACTTAGTAAGGCAGAGACTTTGATTTGCTAACTGTCTTACTGCTTATCCTTTTTAACCTCATTGAAAAATTCCTACCTCATAGAGGTGAATGAGGCTTGGAGATGTATTTGAATAAGTCCTGTAAAGTAACTAGAATTCTACTAGAAAGCAGAATTAAAAAAAAAAAATACATATATATATATATATGAATTCTACTTAGAGGAGCAGAACCTTAATTTCTGCTGAAAATTTTTGTTAGTTGCATGAGAATGTTATTGATCTGTGCGTTGGATGGCTCTTACTGGAGGCGCAACTGTCATTTTTTGTACTTAAATGACTTCTGGCTTTTCATTTTTAAGGAACATTTTGGTGGACAAGCCCAATGATCAGTCTTCGAGGTGGTCTTCTGAAAGCAATTATCCTCCCCAGGTAAGCATCTGAATTTCTGCAGGTACACAGCTGTGTTGTACTGCATAACATACAATTACATTTTTATTTTAAGCATAGGCTGCTACTGTTTATAATGACGGGCTTTATAAATTACCTACTCAATTCATTAAAATGTAAATACCTCTTGTATCAATAGCATGCATTTCCAGCAATGTATTTGTGATCTTTCAAGGAACGTTTTTTGTAGGGGAAGAGTTTTACATTTCAGCCTTGAAAATCACGGTCATACTGGAAATGATCTAACCTTATGGTTAGATTAAGCTGCTAATGAGGCATGTGGGTCCCCCTTTGTCAGTGCTATTGGAAACTGCTGTAGACTGCTGGCCTTGAATCCTTGATCTAAGGAGCTTGTGTTTGTTTCCTTTAATAGCACATTTAGAAATGTAGAATCTTTATAGATGTGAAAGTCACCTTGTCTTCTGATTAACCACCTTATTAAAAAGAATTTGTATTGATTCTTAGCTTCTTGTTTGCCTTTTTATTATTAAGTTGTTTTCTTATCTGGAAAAATATACTTATCTGTTAACTTACGATTTTTCCTTCAATAAAAGCATTACAGATCTAGCATAAAGAGAGTGGTTACACTGGTACTATTTGCTCAGCTTCTCCTGTATCTGTTATGCTGGGTTTTTAAAGTCCCGAGTTCAAGTACTGATGTGCAGCAGAGTGTCTCTCATGCAAAATTATTCTACCTACTTGTACATACAATAAGTACATGTAATTCAGATACTCCTCATGAGGTTAAGTCTCTGGATTTTTCCTGTAGGTAAATCTTGCTGCTATGCTGTGTAGGTATGTTGAAAATCCGTACAACTGGCAGCTCCGTATCACAGTGGGGGTCATCTCATCCAACTGAAAGGCTTTCATCCTAATTTTCCTGATAGTATTATGTACTGTTGTTTGTGAAAGTGTTTTCTAATAAGGGAGAAAGAGCTATGTTATCAATACTGTTAATGTTGTAAACTTGCTTCTGACGACTGATTTGCATCTACTGCTTGTTTGATATTTTTTTTAAACATATCTTATTTTTGTTAAACAGCATGGGAATTCCATTCATAGCTTGAAGCTGTTTTAATCTGTCTAGTACACATTGATTGCAGGGTAATTGGTTTTGAGCATGTATCGCATCTCAAACTGTGCCATCCTTCACCTTGTTTTGTTCAGAAAGCATTTGTTTTTTTTTTTCCTTTGAGTTCTCTTATGCATTCAGAAGGCAAGGTTGATTGTGCTGTAGCTTCAGACTGGGTTTTTCATGTGAGGTGTTCATAATTCTGCTGTCTTGTTTTTGGGGTGATCCTGAATATTTTGTTCTGTTTTCAAACTGATTCTGAAATGGGAATGTGTTTCGTGTGGCTGGATGCTTTACCGTATTCCCATTTGATGGTTAATGCCGATGAGCAGCAATGCAAGTTCACAGAATCATTTGAGGTGAAAGAGCCCTTTAAAGGTCATCTAATGTAACTCCCCTGCGATGAACAGGGACACCTACAGGTAGATCAGGTTGCTCAGAGCCTAGTCCAGCCTGACCTTAAATGTGTTGAAGAACAGGGTTTCAACCACCTCTCTGGGCGATCTGTTCCAATGCTTCACTACTCTTATCATAAAAAGCTTTTTCCTTGTATCGAATCTAAATCTCCTCTCTTTTAGTTTCAAACCATTTCCTAGTACAACAGACCCTGCTAAAGAGTCTGTCTCCTTCCTTCTCCTAGCCTTGTTTAGATACTGAAAGGCTGTTCTCAGATCTCCCTGGAACCTTCTCTGAGATCCCCAGCTCTTTCAACTTGTTCTCTTAGGGGAGGTGTTCCATCCCGTGGATCATTTTGGTGGCCCTCCTCTGGACACGCTTCAGCAGGTCTGTGTCTGTCCTGTGCTGAGGACTCCACGTCTGGATGCAGTACTGTAGGTGAGGTCTCTGCAGGGCAGAGCAGAGGGGCAGGATCACCTCCCTTGCCCTGCTGGCCACGCTGCTTTTGATGCAGCCCAGGATACAGTTGGCTTTCTGAGCTGCGAGGGCACATTGCTGGCTTATGTTCAGCTTTCCATCCACCAGCACCCCCCGGTCCCTTTTGGCAGGGCTGTACTCAATCCTTTCATTCCCTCAGCTCGTGTTGATAGTGGGGGTTGCTGTGACTGAAGTTATACCAAGAACGTGGAATAAGCAGAGAATAATCAGAATTGCTTGAGCAAGTTCATGTGGTTTTTATCTGAGAGATATTTCCATCACTTTTACATGTACTGAGCATGGAATGAATGAAGATGTTACTGTACATCTTCTGCATCCAGCCCTGGAGAACTGGGTGTTGCCCTGCATGCTAAGCAAGTAATTTAAACCAAACTTTTGATTGGAGAATTAAATGTGTGTAGGAGGTATGCAGATAGTGGCAACTGAGATTACTAAAACAGTGTCTCAGTTTTATTCTGTTTCCTTTAAAGACAAAAATGCAAAAAAACCAACCTGTCTGCCCAAGTGGAAAAGACAGTCCCACGGGATTCTTCTTGCTTGAATCTCTGCATGCAACAGCAAGAAAACAAAAAGCTGTACAGTTGCTTGTTTGTTCAGTAAGGCCAATCCTGAACACAGCGTAAGAGAGATGTCTTTGCATCTGTGTTTTAGCTAACTCTCATGCTTCTTATCTAAGAGTTCAGTGACTTGTTTAAAGCATATTTGCTGGTATGAACTTACCTGTTGTAACAACAGCTGGGAAGGAGGATTGGGAAATTAACATTTGCAGAAGAGACCTCTACGTGAAGGATGTAGCTTCTACTGTTGCTGTGCACATGAAGAAACTTCCAAGTTAATGTCTCTATCAAAGAACTTCAGATTTGGTTATGTTTTGCTCAAAATAGATACTTCTCACACCTCCAGCAGTGAAAGATTGCTGCATTTTGATGCAGGTAAAAGTTATAGACAGACTATAGACAGACTCATTCTCATAAACTGATGAAGTTCTAAAGGTAGAATCTTAGCTTGGAGAACTTCAGTTGAAATAATAGTTAACCAAATAGTAAGTGTGGTGGGGGGAGAGGCTGAGGGAGATTGGTTGCTTTCTGACTATTTCATATTCCAGAAATAAAATCCACGTGATTTTTGATGTCCAAAATAAATGTTGAACATCTTACGGAAAATGAAGTTATAAAGCATTTTCTGGTTTTTGTCTTGGCATTTCTTCATTTACGAATTGGTTGCTTGTACAGTGACACTTGTTAAAATACGTGGGTGGCCATAATGGTCTGGGATAGGAAATGCTGTAAAGCTTGGTAAAATACAACTTTCCTAGACACAACTAGCATGCACTAGCATGGGCTAGTGCAGTTCAGGCTCATTGGCACATGCTGGGGGGTATTTTAATAAGCTGCAACCCTAATGGCTGATTTGTCTCATCAGTGCATCTCACCTTTGTGTAAGAGTTTACTAATTTGCCACTGGTGAAAATATGAGTGAGTCCCTAAGTATTGAGTTATTCATTTTCCCAGCTGAGTGAAAAAAAGCTCTACTGACAGCTTTCTGTCAGAGCATTCCTCTTGCTAGGATAAGCATGAGTCAAAAGAACATACGTGAACTTCAGGGTTCATACAGTGTCTCAGAGCAGATCTCTATAGTGAGCGTGGTGAAGTGTATACAGAAAGTTTATTAAGAAAGAAAGAAAATGAAAGTGGAAGTATAAATATTTGAAATGCTGTTCTCTGGCTGTATATAATAAAGAGTCTTTCTAACTGTATGGGTATGCTAGACTTAAATCATTCTAGCAGCCATGAAAGCCGGGAGTTATGAATGAGTGCCAGTGAAAGGAAATACATATGACAGCTGTTTTTCTGTTTATTAAACTAGATATCTTTCTTGGGTCTTGAAATAGAATGACCCAGAAATTATATATTCAATAACAAACCTGTTATGTAGTAACCTATTCAGGCAGAAGAGGGCTGATAGTTCTATTTTTGAACTAGTTCTAGGCTTACATAGGAAGTGTGAAGCAGAAAGGCTTGTAGTGCTGAAGACTGTGGCTCTGTTCTAAATGTGCATCCTGGTGGCTCCAGTGATGGTCTAGCTCAGGAGGCTGCATGCAGAACACTGAATTCCCCTCATGGCATGATTAATAATGTACAGAACAAAAGGACAAACTTAATTACAAAAACAATGGGTAAGTTTGTGTAATGGCCAGTGATCCTGTCAGGTATTTTGATTATTTTCTGCTTTTATTTTCAAATACAAAATAAGTTTCATCGCTCCCTAATAAGAAGTGTGTGTAGTGCTGTATTGCAGTGGTTGATAAACAGAGATGCTTAAAGAAAAAAATAAGTCAACATAATATAATCTGAGTCTGTGCACAGGCATCTTGTGTAGTGCAGTTTGGAATCAGTTTCATTTTCTTTAATGAAGAGGTGCAGATTCTGAGCTGTTAAAGAGCACATGGAGAAAGCCACTAACATTCTACAAACAATTAGTTTCATTTTTGCATCTGAGAAGAGCGATTTTCCACTCCTGAGTTGTGTCCTACTGTAGATCATATCAGCAACTAATTTAAAACACATTTGTAAAATTTATACTCAGTTGTGTGATGCAGGAGCGTGCATGTGGTTGTCATCAAATGGTAGCATGGACCAGAGCTTCAAAAAAGTTTGGAACTGATTGCAGCTCCCAGTGTGACAGGGTTGCATTTGTATTCTTGGGTGCACCTAACTGGCTGTTGAGGTGCCATGCTCTGCTCTTTGTGCATCTTCACTTACTGACATGCTTACTCATGGAGCAGAAGTTTTGCTCTTCTAATGCAATCTAGCATCTTGTTTGTAAGTGTGGTAGTTTGAAGCTTTTTGTGCAGCTACTCCAAGCGGTGTCAGTATGCCATGCTTCTAATGAGCAAATAAGCTTGTAATTTGGATTGTTGGAATACTTCCTGAATACTCCAGTGTTAAGTGCACTGATTCTGCTTATGGCAGTATGACTGAAAAGTGTTATGTAACTGTATACATACATATATATATATGTGTGTGTGTGTGTCTGCCTGAAACCTCATAGACTTGTTCTCTTCAGATGTCTTCTCTTCAGATATCTTCATAATGTAATAGAAATGTGAGATCAAACCTTTGAAAGCTGTAGAGGATAGTCTGTGACACTTAAAATCCTAGTAACAGTCCAAAAATGTCCCTGCTGCCACCTGTTTGCAGTTCTTGAGGAGATGTGTGTGTATGTATGTGTATGTATATATATATGTATTTATATACACGTACATTTTCAAGTGTGTGAGATCTGTAGCTTGTACTCACAGTGGCCTCTGTGTGTATATATCTTTGTATATATGCAAAATCTGCCTAGATTAAAAGCTGCATCTGTATTTTTGTATTTTGTGTGTGTGTTTACACGCACGTATACTTTTATACAAAGGGTGCTCTGAAAGTAATGCCTCCTATTTTATTAGGCCTGTGTGGCACGTAGGCTCTTGCTTCTTGCTGGCAAAAATGCATAGTGAATGGTAATGACTGCTGAAAAATAGTGTTTTGTAGCTGAGAATTTGCTCAACTGAATAGTGTTATTTTGCCCTTTGTGTCTCTTGTATTTTCCATGGGAACGAATAAGAAGCATTACTTTCAGAGCAACCTGTGTATATAAAAACTACAGAAAGCATTGCTGGGTTCAGGTATTTGGCCACAGGCGTTGAGGAACACTTGTATTCTGGTTCCATAAGAGTCTTCAGCTTCTGTGTTGATGTCCTTAAATCTATGTGTGACTCAGCAGGTGCTGGGAGGTGTGGGAGCAGGAAGGAAGGCTGTCTGTAGCCTTCAAAAATAACTGCTGGCCGTGTGGAGCAATTGCTGTGCCTTACTCTGCTTTAGACATCTTTTGGAAAGGATTTATCTGCATGCCTGGTTTACTTAGTATTTTAGAGCACGAATCTAATAACGCAGGATGAAGTTTATGTCAAGCTTTTGCGTATCTTGCAGAGCACATGGGAAAGTATTCCTTCCTGCTCCAAGCAGGAGGTTTGTGATTTCAGCAAGATTTAAGAAATGCAGTTGCTGATGTTAGCAGTGCTGATGTCACTTGTTCAGCTGTGGGAGAAATCTGTAGGGAGGATCTGATGGTGGAGGAGCTCTTAGATGTTGTTGTGTACTGTCTGTTCTGGCAACTGGCTGTGCTCTGTGTCAAGTACTGCCATGCTACAGGACCGTCCCCTTGCTCATCCCTTCCTTTTTTCTGTCTTAAAAATTTGTTTTCTGTATAAAACTCTTTTTTGCTCCAAAGTTTGGAAATTACTTGGATACAGAAGCTTAGCTTTCTGCTAGTTAGCTGAAATTATGTTCTGATGTCCAGATGAGTGGCACAAAACTAAGCAGCTTTCTTTTAAATACTTAATGGAAAAAAATATGTTTGGAGAAGCACCAAAGCATTTTTCTGTCGCTGATATGGACTTATTTTCTTCATTGCTGGAAACATCCTTGGCCGTAATTTCTTTCTATCCTTAAAAGGTACCCATCTGCATTATTCAAGATAACTGCTGCTTGTGGAGTATTTTCCTAAGCTTAAGCTCTTTGTAAGTCATAGAATCATTAAACTGGAAAGGACCACTAAGATCATCTAGACCAGCCATCTCCAGGGGCTCCCTGTGCCTGCAGCTCACACTTCTCTAGTTGGCCAAGCCAGCTCTCCTGTCTCCTTTGTAGTAAGATCCAATACTTGAGATCACCTGCATATCCTGATGCTCTCTAAAACATCATCACTGGTGCTCTTATGCTCAGAATTAATTGCTTTATAGAGTAAAGCCATGGCAGGACAGAGATGAGATTCCCTAAAGATATGGGAAAACCTTGTTCTGTTTCTCAACTGAGAAGTGCCGTTCTAAGGTAAGATTGTTCCTCTGGTGGAGCTGCTTAGCACAAGGAGGGTAGTCTTTACAGCACTTCGTGGAAAGTTGCTGCTTTCTGCTGATAGTCTGCCGGAGCAGTCACATGCATGCAAACACCGTGTAGATAAGTGTGGTTGAAAGACTTGAAATACTGCATCGTGTGTGCTTTGGCAGTACTGCTTTCTGGAAAAAGGGCCACCGGCAGTGCCTGCAGGGGAGGTGTTCCACACCACATTGGTTGTTTGCTTAGGAAGTGTAGTCTTGATCGTAAGGTTTTGTAACCAAATCCAGAGCGATGAGTAATTTTGATTCTGCTCTTAGTCTCAGTTTGTCTGCTGTGCTGCTTATTTCTGAGAAATCAGACAAGAAAAATTAACATTGTTTTCAGGTATGAATCTCAATGTATTCTGTGAAGCAGGATGTCTCTGGAGTTCCTCCACTGTGGCCTACTTTGTAGTGAAGGGTTAAATAAACTTGGGGTGCTCAATGGTTCCAGATGAATGATGAAAAAATTCTGTGTACGTTTTTCAAATGGAAGAGATCTTTTGCTCCAGGAGTGCTGGGAAGCTGATAGCTGTGGTCTGAATGTAAATAATCTGCTGACTTGATCCCTACACTGCTGGGGGATGTCTGTGTTAGGAGGAGCAAATGTTTACAAAGGAGAACACTTTCATCATTTCATGTGTAAGGCCCCTTTATTGTCAGTTAAGTGGTTAGGTTTTATTTCGGATGCATAATAAGCAGTTGGCTCCTACATTAGCCACAAAATCGAGCTTAGTCTGTATTCAGTGGTGAAATAGTGTCAGCCTAGAGAGGAAAAGTATTTGATGTTCTCTTAGCATGTGGAACATACTGTATTTATCTAATTGTGCATTCAGTTTAGGTTTCGTTTCAGGCTCTAGTGGGCGTCTGCGTCATCATTCTTGTTAGATCCATCTTATTTGCTAGATTTTGGGAAGTCTTGCATCCAACTTGAAGGAATGTCTGTAAGCCTTGAATAGCAATACTAGAAATAGGCACTTAAACCCAATCTTTTTCCTGGACAGACTTTTTAAAAAGTAATATTCCTAAAAAGCTTTTGCTGGAAATAAGCAGGAATAATGGGGGTGGCTCACCTTAATTTTTTTGTTTTGTTAACAGAATATTTGAAGGCAGCCTTTGCTTTAATATTGAAATTCACTATTATCTCTTCCACAGTATTTGATTCTGAAACTTGAAAGACCTGCCATAGTCCAGAGTATCACGTTTGGCAAATATGAAAAAACACATGTCTGCAATTTAAAGAAATTTAAAGTCTTTGGTGGGATGAATGAGGAAAACATGACAGATCTCTTATCCAGGTAAGATGTGATTTTATCAGCTATGATAATCATAAAGGCTGGACCAAAATGCTTTTCCCCTTCACTGCCAAGCAGATAGGTGGTTAACAGTGTAAAAGAGCTCTTGTTGTGATCCTGAAATTAGCTGCCCTTGTGTTTATGGTCAGGTCAGAGAGCAACAAGCCCAACACTTGCTGCAGAAAACCTTTCTTATCTTGCTCTAACCACAGAATTTGTGGAGAATGTGCTCCTGGAGGCTTGAAAGACCTGAGAGCAAGATGCAACATTGGATTTGTGATTTCTTTCTTCCTTGTGCCTGAGGCACAATATAAATGATTCCCCAGGTGTGGGTAACTTTAAGAAGCTTTTAAAAGCACAAGTAGCCTACCTATGTCAAGAGCCTCACTGCAGCAATAAGGATCTAAACCAGTCAGCTGCTCTGTCTAGCTTCAAATAAACAAATCAGATCAGCAAATAGAAAACCTTTTTTTTCTTTAGTTTGATTTCTAGTTATGCTGGTAAGGACTAATGAAAGAGCCTTTGGGCTGTTTAGGCCTTATTGTGAGCTTCTGAGAAATCGCTAATGTAAATTTGCAAGGGCCTTTTAAGGTCTCTTTTTTCAGAAAGGGGAATGATTTAAATATCTAGGAGCACAAGATGAGTAGCAAGAACCAATCTATTTTTCGAGGCCTACAGAAGGAAACTCCACCTCCAGGAAATGTACGTCATCTTTAGTCAAGTAAATTAGCCACGCAGAAACATGTGACATTCTTCGTTTGCAGGTGTCCTTCTAGCCAGTTTTCCCTGTCCCTCCCCCCTCTTTAAGTAGATCAGTCTTGCAATTTAGCTTTATTGCTGCTGGAATTTTCTGGGGTAGAGCTTTTAGTAGTGTAGTAATTAGTGATACCTAGTATTGTTTTGCTTGTACCAAAGTTTAATTAAAATCTGTATTTTGGGATCTGTAGATACATCTTCAGTACAAATGGACCTAAGATTTTTGATGTTATACTGAATAGTTTTTATAAAGTGTTGCTCATAAGTGGATCACAAAACACTTCGGCAGTGTGATAATTCTGGGAGTTGGGTTGTCTCCATCTCGAACAGAAAAGTGCAATTCAGATTGCTTGCTGAAGTCACAGGGTCACTGGTGCACGCAAGCAGCATTGATCTGCTGTCAGTTCTACCCCCAAAACCACTAACCAATGCTGCCTCCCAGGGAGATAAGATGGTGGATAGCAGTCCAGGCATTGGTCCAGCATGCATACTTATGATTTATAGTAATATGAAACAAGCATCGCATTTCAGGCATGACCTAGATTGCATTTGTTAGCTAGTTCTAAAATACAAGGTAAGATTTAGTAACCTTATTTATTTTTTCCCACAGTGGCTTAAAGAATGATTATAACAAAGAAACATTCACCTTGAAGCATAAAATTGATGAGCAGATGTTCCCCTGTCGATTCATTAAGATAGGTAAATGCATTTTTTCGGCATTCTGAGTAGAAAATAATTTCTTAGGCTTGTGCCAGTCTTGGCACTTGTGACTTCATTGTATTAGGAAAAGCATCCAAAGTAGCTGTTCCATTTCATGATCTTTTAGGCTGGTTAGTTTGGAACACAGTGAAGTCCTGTTACTAAGAAATAATAGCTACATAACATAAATCCTAGGGACTGAAAGCAAAATGCTGTAATTTTCAGAAATGCAGTTGTTGAGCCAACTAATTGCTGGAGAAGCTGCTTAATGTCCTACTATAAATTGCTATGTAGAGTTTAAAAAAAAAACATTAGGCTAAATACAAGTAGAAGCTCCTGTATTGACAGCTGTAGAACTTGGAAAAGTTTTTTTCCCAAACTCATTCAACATAAAGCAACAGCCTTTTTTTTTTTTTTGTCATCTTGCTACTCTAATCTTGAAGTCTCACTTCTGCCTAAAGATGCTATCCAGGAGCAAGGAAGAGTTATGCTATGTGATTTCTAGAATAGTTTCTCTGGTGAACCTTGCTAAAGAGGGGGGAGGGGAGGGTGCAAATGATGTCTGATTATTGTGACTTTTGATGGGGGCAGGGCTGTTTTTTTTTCTTTCTTTCTTCATACGTCAGAGTGTCTTAGAGTTGCCATGCACTGGTTGGATATAATGCATTAATTTAGAGCCTTTTACCTTTACCATAGGTAAGCAGATTTATCTTCCCCTTCCTACCTGCCGAGACAGTAAAAGCATTACTGTTTTTATGCTGTTGAAGGTGAAAGACTGAGGAGGTAGCTGCTGAAAAATGGAATGAGATCCTTACTGACTAACTTGGGAACTCAAGAGTGTTTTCAAGTGTTGCGTAGTTCCTTTGCCAGGACTTTGGTGATAGCTGCTCCCTTGGGGCCCTTTGCTGTGCCTTCACAGCTTTCTGAATCACTTCTCACGTTGATCTGAGAAAGTGAAAGCATCAGTTTAGGAAATGAGTGATCATTTGTATGCTGTAAATCAGAGTGTTTCCCATTTTTAGAAAAGTGGAGAAATTAGTTGGTGGTTTTTGTTTTGTTTTGGGTTTTTTTGGCTACTTCTTTTGGAAGCATCTGACATCCAGTTGGCTTTAGGAAACCTGAAGCGGAGTAAGGAAATAGTTTAAGGATGACAATGTCACAAAAGTTGAATTGATTTTTAACACTTACTGAAGCTTTTTGGACAGTGTTATAAATAATATATATATATTTTTTATAATATATATATATATTTTTTAATGGCTAACAAACAGCAAATAGTTACTGGAGGTCTAAAAGGGTGAATAGAACAATTCCTATGTACTGCTCTGGATGTTTAAATTCTATTCCTGCGGAATATATTCTACTTGAATGTTACGAAGCATAGCACTGTACTGGAATTTGTTAGGAAAGTGAAGTACTGATGAATTCTACTACCAAGATCTTCTCTGACTGATGTGAGTTGTGTTATAGGTGGCTTGCTTTGTTGAAATGGCTTCCATACACAACAATAAGTATCCTGTTTTGCAATAAGGCATGTTTCATTGTCACTTACTCTCCAGTTATTGTTTGAGATTAATTTTCCTTTTTAGCTATATTAATATCCTTTCATTTCTTGAAGCATCTTCTATGAAGAAATTCCTGTGCTAGCTCAAAAATTGAAGTGATCTCTGGGCTAACACCTATTAATTTCTAGTTGCTGCTAGCGTCATTTTGTTTATAAAGTTGACTGTTTTTTCTACTGTGAAACAACTGTAAAATGATGTTATGAAATTCTGTTATTTTTCAGGTTCACAGCGTGAATATGTTTTCAGTTTGTTAGACTTTCCAAGCTGCTAGCCAAAGTAACTCAAAATTCGAAATACCGTGCTGTGTTCCTTGTCACGCTGCCAATAAACACGAGGCCAAAATCTGCCCTTTCGGACTTGTAGAGAAGGACACTTCAGAAGTTATTGTTATCAGTGAAGCTTGCGTGTTTGGAGAAGGCGTTATTTACTTCGGCAGTCACTTGCATAAGGCATTTGCTTTATAATTCTGAAGATAGCCAGGTCTGTACACAGCTACTAATAGCAAAACAGGGAGGGTCATTTATTTTTTTTTTTTTTAGGGGGAAAGAGGAGAAATATGGCATGAGTGTATCTGTGAGATACTGGAGAAGAACTTCCTAAAACTTCCATTGCCCATATTTCAGACTGATAGGAAGCAGAAGAAATGAATTCCTTCTCTCAACTTGTGTCAAGAAGAGACTTGAGCTTCTTTCAGTTTAATTAGTTCGACTTCAGTTCCTTAACACTGAAATGCCCAGTTGTGGGCTTCTGACCTACTTGACAAGTAATTGCTCTGTTTCATGTAACACCTCATTAAAGAGCTTAGGAAAGGGAAGGAAGATATTTATCTGGAAAAAATAGTGAGGAAGAAGCTTGTTAATATATGTGAACTTTTTGACTCTTTGTTTATTTTTCTTTTTTTTTTTGTGGTTTCTCCAGGCAGAGATTTTTTTTGTCCTTGAAAGCAGAAGGTGTTGTAAAGAATGATTGCTGTGAAAGAGTTGAAAGACGTGTGGGATTGTAGTTCTTATACCAGTTTGTTACTAGCATGGAATTTGCTAAACTGAGGTTTTCGTGTATTAGAAATGAGCAGTGCTTTCTTGACGGATGTTTCCTACATTAATTGTATAGACTACATCTGTACCTGTGTTTTTTTAAGCATATGTTGTTTGTGTGACTGCTACGAGTAGATGAGACTCAGAAATTAGCTTGAGACATGTCTTCTAAATGATTGTACTGCTTAGCATCTAATGTTTTCTGTAGTATACAGGATGGCAATCTTTGTCAAGGCATAACTTGCAGTTATTGATAAACATCCCCTAAAATCGTTCTTGTGCAGTTTAAAACTTGCTGAAGTGACCTAAATACATACCTTCTGCTTCTGTTAAAGAGGTATTGATTTTTATTTTATTTCTATTTTTTCCTCTCTGTGGGGCACCTCTCTCTGTGTGGTGATGGTTCAGCTGGTCTGAACAGTTGTTTGCATTTCAGGATGGATTGCTGTAGTACACGCAGCCAAAAAAGCCAAGCTGAGATAGCTTTATGGTAAAAATTGAAGAAATATTCTAATGCTAGGCTTCAGGTTCATCAGCTTTGGTGGAAACATTTTTCTGTTTTGAAGGAGTGTATGTTTGTGTGTATAGGAGGAGGAAAAAAGCAATATGGAAAAGAGTAGGCAGAATAAGTTTTTATTCCTACAAATACATTGTAGGATAGAATCAGTAAGGCTGGGAAAGACCACTGAGGTTATGTAGTCCAAACATTGACTCATCACCACAGTGCCCAGTAACCCACAAGGTGACCTCTTTGCCAGGAGTAGAAGTTAGATTATCTGAAGTTCTGCTTTGTGTCCTTTCCTAATATTGCGGAGTAACTTAAAAGATCAGACTCAGTTTTCTGTGCCCATTTTATGCTAGGGAAGCGTTTGTTTTGTGTTCCCTGTGCATTTTCACTTATGTGTAAAGTTTGAATGTAGTGTGGAAGTCTTGATGTTAAAATCAGTTTTTCTGGGGATCAGAACAGTGAGCAGGACTGCTGAAAGCTCTGAGTTAACTGAGGAGGGGTGTTAGTAAGTTGATAGTTCTGCATTTCTTGTGATTGATAGCTACGTAGCATCCTTACATACATTGCTGTTCTTATTTAGGACTGTAGTTGGCTGCTGATGTGAGAGGGTGAATTGTTGATTGTACCAGGAGAAGCTGATTTAAGTTCTGAGAGCTGCTAAAAAGAAATATTGAGGTAGACTCCTGGTTTTTATTATTTTTTATTTTTCCTGGAAGAAGGTGGAAAAGCTGTAATATTTAAGTTTGGTTTTTCACCTCATTAACTCAACCTTAAGAAACCAGCCTCACGCTCACCATCAGGAAATTTATGGTCTCAATCCATCTGAGGTGGTCTGTGGCTTGGTTCAGTGTTTCAGCTGAAGAAACTGATGAACAGTTTTTGATTCTTTGTTGCTGAATGAATACCAAATTTAGCTTCAGTTTGTCCTGTGTGTTCAGGTCAGAGGACAAATACAAGGTTTTACCCATTCCTGTGGTATCTGTCAGTCTATCATCTTAATATGAGGAATGCCTGGATTGTTCACTGTCTCTAGCGTTTGGAAGTTTGTTGCCCTCCTGGGAATGTGAGAAATAGCGACTGTTGATGTCTTCTTGTGTTTCTGTGCAGGGAGTGCAGTATCTTTTCACATAGAACACGCATCAGTTATTTCCTCAGTTCTCATAGTCTCTCTGGTAACAACTTTAAACTTACTGATATGTTTGAATTTAAAAGTAGTAAGGTTTTATGATATTAAGGTAAAAATCTGGCTTAGCTTTTTCTCTACACAAAAGAAGCTTATTGGGCAGAGTGTATGTAGTGTAGAGGACAGGTGGTTTTCCTTGGGAATTGCTCTGAGATCATCTCACTTGTGAGTGTTGAACGATCAAGTAGAAATAAACTATTTGGGATGATTTTAAAATCATGAAAAGTTATATACTCAGAATATCTTTGAGTCCTTTCTAAAAATCTGTTCTTCTGATGACTGTTCCCTGAAGCTGTTCTAAGTCCTTAGCAATAGGATTGTAGAAACACCTTTTAAAATTAAGAGTACCATGCATTTGAACATAGGCTCTGTGCCCAAACAGAAGGTGATTGATCTAACTTTGAGGTACAATTAAGCAAGTGTTAAAGAATCTTTAACAGAAGCAACTTTAGAATGGATTTTGGGTTTTCCTTTTTCAGGGAGTATGTCAGAATACTCCTAGTTCAAGCAGTTAGTAAACTCATGGTACTTCCTAGTGGTTTGAAAGACAACTAGCAATTACTCTGTGGGAAGAATAGTTTCTATGGAGGGAAGTAGTGTACTCTGTGCTGTTGCTGGTAATGAATCATTTATCTCTAAATGCTATCTTTCTTGTTTATCAGTTATGGTCAGATAGAAAGGATGCGGGAAATGAAACCATTTGATTTCACTGAAAGTTTAAGTGTTCACATTAAAACTTTTTGGGAGTTAGAATTGTTCTGAAGCAAAGCCAACTCTTAATCAACAGACTAAGTTTGATAGGTCAGTGCAATAAGGTAGATGTTACAACAGAGTGGTCGAGGTGCCCTAATAAGTGAGACGCTGCAGTGTGTTTCACACTTAGTATGCTTGCCCCGATACCCAAATAAAACAGTATTGGCTAAAAAGCTGCATATGATTAAGCTTTTTTTCAAAAAAAGGAAAATTAGATACAGCTTTTAATTTGGAAATGGACAGTGTTCCCTCCCTCCCTCTTCCACAACTTACAGACGTTACTAATTTTGTAAAATTCAAAATACGTGAGCTTCTTGTCTTCACCATTAGGGAAAATAATTGTTGCTGACAAAAGTGAAAATAAATGCACTGTGAGAAGCAAATAGCGTCTCTAGTGTCCATGTCAAAGCTTTTTGCCTCCTAGTTGTTTTAAATGATAGCATTTTTGCTCTTTTACTTAAAGCAAGCTTCTGCTTTGTAATAATGTGTTAATGTTGTTTAGCACAGGCTGCTTTAAATGACAGCTTTAACATGGCGTGATAATTTTTCCTAAACTTTCTTGAACTAAAAGTTCTATAAAGTCATAAATGCTGAATTTTATTTAACTTTCTGAAGTGTACTGTTGAAGAAGTAGTAGTATGTATAGCCTATTAAGACTTGTGTAATGTTTGGTATTTATGTGTCCTTTTTCTCCTTTTCCTTTCTTCTCCAGTTCCACTGTTATCCTGGGGACCTAGCTTCAATTTTAGTATCTGGTATGTTGAACTTAATGGCATTGATGATCCAGATGTGGTCCAACCGTGCCTCAATTGGTACAGCAAGGTAGGCCTGCATTTTAGGTGCCTGTCTGCTTGAGGATTTGTCATCTCAGAATCTTGTGAAGCTTCTCTTACTGGAATTATGTGACCTTTTCATTCCCTGAATATCAGCTTTTGAAACAACAAACACACATAGTTAAAACTCAAACCACATGGCTGACTTTGACTTTGAGTCTTTTTGTATCTGCAGCTTTTATAAAAGAAAACAACAAAAACCTGCTAGGTAGCATCACAAGAAAAACTTAAAGGAATGTGGAGTCAAAAGGGGACAATGTGATTGAAGTAATGTTTGCATTGGAAAAGAAATAAGTCTTTAAGATTCCACTTCTGCCTCTCTTGCCTTTTGATTAGTCTTTTCTTTTACCATACAGTTAAGCTCTTCTGCAGAGCTATATGTGAGTCTGGAGGCATCTGGTTAACTATGTAGCTTTTGTTACAGGGTATGGGTTTGTTTAAAGAATCCTCTTAAGTGTCTTAATTTGCTGCAGATCTTTGCACTTCTCATGTTTCCCTCCTAATATCATTCTGTTGAATATTCTGAAATTGAGGGGAGCTGACACTGCTGGACTATGAGATGATTTATGCCATTTGTCACTTTGATGGACAGAAAATTCAAGGGTTTCTAAATGTTATTTGTATAAGCTGTGCATAATTGAGTACAGCAAGTATTCTGTGGGAGAATGAATTAAAAACCAGAATTTATTTTAATGCTATTTTTAATGCATATAACTTCTCTATTAATACCATGTGAATTTCATGAATTGTTCCAGAAGAAATTCTTCCCAGTTGAATAAGACTGAGCAGTAGAGCATCATATCTCTGCTTCCAAAATGAAGAAATCAGAAAGGAGATAGGCAAAAAGGAGAAGGCTGTTGATGTAATACTGGTACTCCTTCCCCACTGTATGGTGCTGCCAGTTGAATTAGAACTGTTAATATGGTCACAATATTTCTTTACCTTACTATTTAATTTGTAAATTTTTGCAGCAACATCACAGGCTTCTTCCTGGAGGATTTCAGAGCAGTACTAATAGTTACAGAAGAAGTTGTAGCTGCTTTAATTGTAAAGTCGTATTTTGGTCATTAAGCTGCTAATTGCTGATGTTTGGTCAATAGAAACTGCTGATGGTTTTCTGTGCTTTCTCCTAACTCTGCACATTATGGTCTCTGTCATTTTTCACTAGTTGCAACTATGAGGTTATGATTTTTCTTTTAAATCATTTTTTGGTCAAGGACAGTCTGATGTTGACATCTGTTTTGTTATGTCTTATCCCATGGAATCTACACTTCTCATGGTCTGCATGTATGTAGTTACAAGCTTCTTCAAAGCTTCTGCCAGCATTGTTCTTCTAAAGCTAAGAGCCCTAAAGCAACAAGACAGAGACTTAGTCATGACTGTTTGGATCAATTGCCAAATTTTTGGTGATCATTGTGTTTCAGTGTTCTCTTCTCCCACGGTCTGGAGAGGCTGCTATTACTAAAGCCATGTAGAAGGATATAAGCTAACCCTTATGTGGGGAAGGGCAGCAGAGTTATCTGTTTTTTCCATTCAAGGTAGTGTGGGTATTATCTTGCATATTCTTGAAAGTCTGAAAGATTTGGAAATCTAATAATTGTTCTCTATTGAGACATCAGACAAGAAGGTTCTCCATGAAGTCGCCCATCCTTTTTGTTCTGTGTGCTTCAACCAGTAAAACTTCCTTTTCCTGGGGGAATAGGATTAGATGTGACACATAATAACTGGAAAAAAAGTGTTCTCCTCAGTTGGCTCTTCACTCCTTTTTCCTTATTGTTTAGCTCACCTGACAGCCTCTTGCAGGCCTTACCACTTCAGTTTTACTGAAGACTAAGCATAGTTTGGCATCTTAGAAATGGCAGTTTATGGATGGCTTTCATTTTTGTTTTTCATAATGAACAATGTAAAATATTTTTAATTCTAACTGTATATTTCACAGTGTTAACATCTCAGTCTCACGCTCTGGTTAAGTTTTTAACCAAAGTAATTATTTACAGATTCAGATCAAAGCTATTCTTTGATTTGTGATCTTTTTAAACTTGCGTGACAGCATGTGAAGAGAAGCCTCTTATATACTTTTTAGACTCATTTTTTTGCATAAAATATTTTTATACTTAGCTTCTGTACTACTACTGTGGTGTCAGTCAAGTAGCAACTTCTTTATTACATCAAGTGGCCAACCTGCCAGTAGTCAATCCATGTTTTATAAGCCAGGTTTATTGATCATAAGATGCTCAGTAGCAGTACACAAAGTCTGTACTTTTAGTCTAATGGCCAAGTTGCAGGAGCTGAAGATGCAGAAGTTTGTTATTAGAGACATACATCTATCCTTTTGCTTGCTATCCCTTGGAGCAACAAATAATGTAGGGTGATGATGAACGCAAGTGAACATTTGCTTAAAGTCAGTGTCTTAAGTATCTCTTTAAAAAAAAAAAAAAGATAAATCTAGCTGTGCTCCAAAGCTGTGTTTTAGCTTTAATACTCCTTTGTCAGTGGGTTGCGTTTTTATTGGTATGTGTCCTTGGCCTTTTTCATGTGGGCTGGGAACTGATTTTCTAAAAATGCATAGTTCTGCTTATTTGCAGCTGTATAATACTGATGGATTAAGAACTAAAAATACAGTACATGGCTGTGCTTCTTTTTAGCTGTGTTTTAGTTGTAGATTCTTGCTATAGAGCTGTTATTTCAGAAGCACTAATTTGTTCTGAATGTTGGTGTAAGTTTTCAGGCTTTCAGAAAGATCCTGTTCATTTCAATTTCATACACTGAACTTTGAGCAGTGGCATCAGTTTAAGAATAAAATCTCATTTTATTTTGATCGCTCTTAGAGATGCTTAAGTTGGACTTGTTTTTTACCACACTAAATGATGTGTGTTAAAGATGAAAGTCAAGAATTACATGTTTTTAATGCGGTAGAGCTTGGGTTTGATGGATATACATAAAATAAGTGGTTCTGGATGTCTGAGCTACTTATAAACATACAAATCTGAGTCACTTACGCATGTTGTTAACAGCTTTGAATATGCAGTGAATGACTTGGTACGTTAACTGCGTGAGCTGTAGTTCTTAAATAGAATTTACTACTTCCTCATATTTCTGTACCTTTATTTTTGATGCAGTGTGGGTTTCCCTAGCCTTTCTCACTCTCCCACAGTTGAGTGGGACACGGACAGCTTTGGCTAATCTGTAGTATGAAGGCAAGGGTTCCACTTTAAGACCTGTGGGGAATATTTTGAAGGTAAAACTCTGGCATGCATGTAAATACTTGCTGTCGTTGATTTGAAATCCTTGCAAACTTGCAGGATTTGTGGTTAGTCGTACGTTCTGCTTTTCCATTACAGGAGCGGTGGTCATTACAAGTATTTATATTCTAATGTTTTTTTTTCCTTCTGCTTCTAGAAAAGCTGTGACCTACTTATTCTTCTAAATTATTTTGTTACATAAGAGTCATACAATCAAATTATGTAACGCTGATAGCGACGGCTTTTTCCTGCCCTGTATGCCATGTAGGCCTCAAACAGCAGGACCAAGCAGGTGGGGGGGAAGTAATGGTCACTTTGGAGATCTGGGACACTGCAGTCTCTTCTCATGCACCTATTAAATTGTGTTCATGATATGAAGCTGTATAATTTCTATACTGTTGAAAAGGAAACGTCTGCGCAGCTTCTGATGTCTGTGATAGTGTTCCTCTGTAAGCTCATAAGCAAGTTACGTGCAGTGTGTAAGAACCTATCTCCAGACTGATTCATAGGTAGATGCCAACTGTTCTAGTAAAAACAAAATCTGCATGTCTCATAGATTTTCTTGTGTTCCAGTAGTACCGTGAACAGGAAGCCATTCGCCTTTGCCTGAAGCATTTTCGTCAGCACAACTACACTGAAGCTTTTGAGTCGCTGCAGAAGAAAACCAGGATTGCTTTGGAGCACCCTATGTTGACAGACCTGCATGACAAACTAGTGTTGAAGGGAGACTTTGATGCTTGTGAAGAACTGATAGAAAAAGCTGTGAATGGTAAGACTCAGAGGCGGCTGGGGATATTAAAAACTAAACAAAAAGATGTTGAAGTATTACTGCTTTCAGTGTTAATGTACGTAATAAGAAAATTGTCTATTCTATGTGCTATTTCATAGTGTGGTGTCCTATCAAGTTCTGGATTCTATATGCATGATGAAAGCTAAAAATTAATTCGTGAAATAACTTATCTCAACTACATTTGGAGGCATCACAACTACATTTGGAGGCTCTCTTTCCCTTGAAGATGACAAATTGATGAATTTAAAATCAGTGAAGATAGGTTCTTCATGCAAGTGGCTGGCAAACTGGAGGTGGACATAGCTATCAGAAATAAACTGTAGTAATGAGCATAGAAAAGCAGCAGTGGAAACAGAAGCGTAGAACTTGTGTTCTGAGTAATGATCTTTATCATGATTTCTGGCTAGGACTTACCAGTTGGTGAGTATTTCAGCAGAACTTCAGCTATATTTGAGAATGCTTTCTTTGTGAAGAAAGTACTCCCTGGAGGATGTCTTAAGAGAAGTCATAATGATTGGAAGCAACGGCTTTCTTCACTTACCGGTTTCTTTGTAACTACTATTAATTTTTTACTTGGAACCTTTCAACTTAGAAGCACTGTGTGTAAACAGCTCTCATCTCCTAAGACAGGAGAGATTTACTTTCTGTTGATAGAATGAGATACAAGAATTGAGCTTTTGCAGTGAAGTGTGTCTCCAAAGATCTGTGCAGTGGTTTTGGATTGCAATTTGATAAACAGAGGCACTCTTGCCTGTGGGTGTCGTGCTTTTTGACTACGTGCAATTGCTATTCATGGAAAACCTGTACTGGCATAAGAGATCCTCGTGTCTGTGGATTTGGAAACTAAGTGGACCAGTGTAATGGGTGTCTGGCGCCAAAGGTTTGTGTTGGTGGTTTTGTTTTTGTTTTGTTTTAAATTCTGGGTGAATCAATCATTTTGAAATATCTCTTAGAATAAATAGCAGCATACATGATTGATCACCTCTTTCTCGGTAAAACCACTGAAGTTGCAAGTGGTTCTTAGGATATGATAGAAATGATAGATTTAAAATCAGCATCACAGTGCTTTCATGAGGAAGCTGTTCAGCAGAGCACAATTTAGGGAGTTTATTGCAACAGGCTGTCAAATGGCTTTCTGTGAGTTTTGACAGAAGACTTCTGAACTATATAAGCAGTACAGCTTGACTCTGCTGTGTGCTGAGCTCCCTGAGCAGCTACAAGCATTGAGCCTGAGAAAAGCCTACATTCATCCTTGTCCTTCTGAGTGCTGCTTGTTCTCCTGAGACGTAGTAGTGTTGTTGGCTTGGAAGGGAGTGTAAACAGCTTCCTGCAATGTAGAGACATTCTTCAACTGGCAGCTTTCTGCTGAATCTAAGAGCACGTGAGGGTTGTAGGAGGAAAGAGCAGTGGGGGGGCTGTAGCTGGTTCTTGCTCTGCTGTTGCAGTGTTACTCAAAGAAGGGAATGTCAGAGGGAGCTTATGTGCCCACCAAACTGAAGCAGTGGGATGTTATATGCTGATGATTACAATCTTGCCAAGGGATCAGTCTTGGCTGTGGCTTAATCTCATCAGTGCTTAGAGGCTTTCCTCTTTCCACCTCATTGCAGACCGTAGTAGAAGCTACTTCTTGAATGGAATTTCACTAGAGATCTAGAATGTGCTGAGTGAGGTCCCTCAAAAACTGACCTTTTTCCCCACAGGCACTAATGAATTGAATGTTTGTGGCTTTGTTTTGCCTTGTTGCATATTAATTCTTTTCACCACATTATGTGTAGCATACTGAATTTATTGCATCCAGCAGTTTTCCCCTGAGACTAGAACTTAGGAGGTGCTTCTGTGCCTCCACAGTATATCCAGAGCAAAATTGCTGTCTGCAGTGCTCAACTTTACCAGATGTGGAAGACAGAAGACTTCCCTGGTAGAAGGTTCCAAGTCTGGTATTGTACTGATGGATTGACAATTTGATGTGAATAATCAATCCTCTTTCCCTTCTTCCTGCAATCATGTCCCTTTTTGGAAGCTGGAGAACATGGAGACATCTAGGAAGCATGTCCTAGAAAAATAGTGTGGTTTGTTTTATCACTCCTTTTTTTTTTTGTTTTGTTCCAGCAAGTACAGAAACAAATATTTAAAGCAACACACTATGGGTAACTTAGCAGGAGAGTCTCCGAGCAGCAGAGTGAAATTTCCTTACTGTTTCTGAGGGACAGAATAATATGCATGGGTGTGTTTATATTGCTTCCTTTTAATCTAGCACCTGGCTAGCTGAAGTTAAATGTCAGTGTATGCATCTCCCATTGCTCTGTTGCTTATCCTTAATGATTTTGCTTGTCTTTGAATACATTAACCTGCCTTCTGCATTCCCTTCTGCATTTCTTTTTGCTGTCTTCAGCTTTTGCACCCACTTAAAGTTCTGTCACCTCCCAGCACCCTTCAGTGAGAAGTGATATCTATCTCAAGACACTGAGGCTGCATCCCATATTTTCTGTAAGGTGGCAGAACTTGAACTGGGTCAATCCCTGCTCAGGACAGTGTATGCCCTAGCCCCTTGCTTGGTGACACTGGTGCTCATGTTGCCACGTGGTAAGCCAGGTCAGGGAACTGATTCAGCTACAGTGTGGGAAAGGGCAGGAACTAAAAACATGAAACAGCTGCTGAAAGAGTTTGTCCATGGTTATACCAGTTGACTGTCATAAGGCAAGTAGCTGAACACGTATTTCACAGCTGGGTCTTTCCCTTTCTTGCTAGGATGGAAATAGATGTTTTCAGTCTCACTTTCTCCTACAGTATCAGCTCCCTGTGGTCCTCCGCAGTTACCTGTCCTTGCTTTGTTCTTGATGTCTCTGAAGTGCTTCTGTTTGAAAAAGGCTTGTTTGCACCCAACACCTCACTTTCTTGGTAGCTTGGTTGTGCAGTCTCCTAGCTTGCTACTAAATTTTGGAGGTATGGGTTTTATAACTGAGCTCTCCACTGCATTTTCTTGTCAAATAGATGCAGATTAACTTTAGTCCTGTGTATGATGAGTTAGTGTAGTTGAACTGTAGAGTTAATTGAGATACACAGATTCTTAAATTATCCCTGTTATGGAACAGTTTGCTCTTTTGAATGGACTGGACATGAATATTTGAACTGCTGAACTCTTGCTAATCTGAGAGTTCATAGCCTTAAAGGAACCAACAGAGTGCAGTGAGGTTGACACTGACACTGGTTGCTCGGTGCAGCCTAAGATTTGATTTGTAGGGGCTAATATTTGCAGCGATAGGTATTTAAAAAGTGAAATGTGATACATCTTTTGTAGGGTATTTCCATAGGCTTAGTCATGTAGAAAAAGTGTAGGTGGTCAAGAATTAGTGCTAGCAGAGCTAAACTCTTGTTCTTTTGCATTGCTAATGGTGAGCGCTGTCTTCCACCTCACATCACCAGATGATTTCTTTTGAGAGCTCAGTGGCAGGCAGCCACACTTTTCCCGCAGATTCTTTTGACTTGTGCATTAGACTTAGAAAATGGGCAAATGGAAACTCTGGCAGCTGTCTGACTTCCGCTCAGAAATAAAAGGTTCCTTAAATCTCAGCTGGTTCACAGCCTTGGTTCAAATGCTTCACATTTGGATTCATTCCTATAGCTTTCAACCAGCCTATATTGAAGAAAAAAATCTGCTTAGTATTCCTACAGAGAGCATGAGGAGTGCAAATTACTTGGTGAACTGGTTGCAACTACTGGAGGCATAGAAGGCTGCTTGGAATGGATTGAAGATCTGCTAGGTTTGCTGCATATTAGTATTCCAGGGACCCATTTGTTCCTTCTGGCAAGTCTTCTATCTGCATGCAGTACAGTGTCTATCTGCTGACACGTTGGCCCTGTACAATGAATGAGATGGTGATTTACAGCCTGAAAGCTCAAATGTCTCCCAAAACTTGGGGTGTACAGGAACATCTGTATTCTTCTGGAAGCTGCTGACAGACACCACTTAATTTTAACTTCAGACACTTTGGAGTTCATGTTAGAGCAGCAAACCAGCCTGTAAATTCTCTGTGTTATACTGGGATAGATGGAGGAGAGAAGCTTGCTAGGGATTCAAGGCCTATAGTAAGTAGATCACAGAATTGTAGAATCCTAGGGGTTGGAAGGAACCTCTGGAGATAATCAGTTCCCATCCCCTTTACAGTAGGCTGCAGATGGTGTGGTACGATGGTACAGTGGTATGGTTTCTGTAGAAGCAGGTATCTTGTAGGAGAACAAACCTTGCATCCTGATTGGTTTCTCTTATTAAGAGGAGAGGAAGAAGATGTCACAGTTTTGAGGCTTGAAAATTCATGTTTTCTTGTTGCTTTCACGTTTTAAGGAAATTACGTGGTGGCTGGAGTCTTGTCTGATCTCATCTTTTTCTGCTTCAGATTTTGTTTGGAAGCATTTTCTGACTACAAAAACTTTATTGTTTTATTTTACGAAGAAAAACATCTGAAACTGTAGAACCCCCAACAAAACAAACCCCCAAACTCCAGAAGTCGTGGACAGAATGTTGCTTTGAAGTTTTTCATGCCTTTAATAGTGAAGTGAGTAGATTTCACTACTTCTGGCTAGAGGTGTGTGTTGCCTAAAATGAAACTTAGTACAACTTTCACTTGTTTCTGATCAGCTTCACAAAGTTAAATATTTTGGTCTGCAGTGTTTGTTTTAATCTCTTCTGGGTAATGTGTAATTGACGGACAAAATAAAGCTTTCAGTTACCAGATGAACTTCACAATAGTTAAACCTAGTAAATTTCATGTTGTTACATCCAAAATGCGTCACAACTTGTTGCAAAGTGTTTGTAAATAGTACAGAATAAAAGTACCATCTTTGGCTGCAGTTCTACAGAGTAAACATGGACGTTGAGATGAGAGACCGCAGGGCCTACGGAAACTACTTCTTTTAAAGGCTTGCACTTCACGCTTTTTCTACAGTGAGCTTGAAATTTATTTTAAACTACTGGTTCATTGGAAACAGCTGACAGACATAAGTAGGTCTGGATCTGATCTTCAGTCCTTTGCTGAAACTTTAGAGACTTTTTGGTCAGCGGCTCTACCCTGGCCAGAGACACAAGGAGTGTGCTAGAAGTCTGGAATCAGATACAGAATCCACCTAGAAATCCTTTTTTTCTTTTTTTTCCTCTTCTCCCTGTGGTGTCAGACAGGTGGTGATTCAGCTCCCAAAACAAGCTGCTTCTGGTTTGCGGTGCAAGTAGAATGAATGTGGAACTGCTTCCAGCAGAAAGAAACATTTCTGGGAAGCGAGCTGGAGTATTTCCAAACCAATGTCCCATGGAAGACAAGAAGCATTATTAAAAGAGGCTGAAAGCACAGTAGGGGAGAAGTATCATATCTTGACAAGTGCAGCCTGTGGGTGTTGAGCATGGGAGAGAGGTTAAATCACCCTTTCGGATCATATGTGGTGTAATTCATCCTCTTGAGCTATTTATGTCCAATTATCTATTGGCTGCCATAGGGATAAATACAGTTTTGTCTTTGGACTTAAAGACCGAAAAATGATAACCAAGAGGCTGAATTTCTGTCTAGGTTTGTGGCTAGAAAAATCTGACTCAGTATGGAATTACGTACAGTGCATATGTTTATTCTATTGGAAGTTGGCTTTTCTGAATCAGAATTCATGAAATCTCAAGCCTCTTGTGTTTTATTCCACCTTTATTAATCCTGAAGAAATCTGAGTAACAGTCCCAGTCTTAAAACTGAAACAAGCCATTCTACATATGGTGAGCAAACTTCTGACTTTCTTCAGATTTTAACAGAGTAGTAAGTCTGAAAAACTTGCAGAACAGAGTTGAAGAAAGTTGAAAGCAGTTTTGTATTTTAAGGCCGAATTCAGTACTTTTTTGGAACTCTTGAGTGCCTTTAGTTTTCCTATTAGGTGATTTCTAAATAGAGTCTTCATGTTCTCCCAGGAAGTCCTTGCTGGCTTGAGTTTTAATTAAAACCTGGATTTCAGTCATGACAAAGTACAGGATGCCAGGAGATGCTCTAAAATATCCTCTGAATGTTGTGTCACGCTTACCAAAGATTCTTACCTTTTTTGTAACTAAATAGGTACGTGTGCGGTAAAGAATGATCTTTTTTTCCTCTCTGTGCCCTCCAAGGGATTTGTATAAATAAATGGAGGCATTCACAATCTGTTACGTTCTTACCTCAAAGCCACAATTACTGGGGTTGGAAGAACTGAAAAGTAGTACATAGAACTTGGTAACTTCATTTTTTCTTTCTCTACTGAGGAATGTAAAAGTGATTCCTGAGCTAGTTGGCTAGGTCTGATTCTAGTGAAGAGCAAAGCTGTTAGGAACAGAATGAAGGATTTCTGAATGCATCCTACCCTTGACCGAGCAGCCTATGTGCAGTGTTCTGTTTTATTACAAAACCATGTAAATCTGTCATTGGAATTCTGAGTCTGCTCGTGTTAGTTATTATAGCACTAGTGGTGTAAAAATGTGGCTCACTTTTTTTTTTTTTTTGAGTACTGTATAAATGGAGTACAAATGCTTGTAATAAATATGTCTTGAGATGGTGGGGTAATGGGTGGGATATAGGAAGGTGGGTGTTAAGGGAAGCAGTGATCAGGAGACTGGCTACTAGCAGTCTAGTAGTTTGATATACATGCAGAAAGTTAGGGAGTTTTTCTTAATGAAGTCATTTGAAGACTGATACAAGTTTCTCTCAGTGCTTGCTAAGCTCTTCTCTTCTGAAGAAGAGGAGCTTCAGAAAATTAAATATTTGTCTAGTAAACTCATGATACGTGTAGAACACAGTTAGGATCTGACCTTTTGATGCTAAGCAAATTACGTCTGGTAGCTGTATAGAGGGAGAGAAGAATGCCCATGGAATGTGGATAGAGTGCTGCAAGTTACTGCTTCTTACAGAAATGCTGCAGTTGGCATATCTGGCCAGTGACTTAATGTTTCTTCTGTTTCTCTTCTTGTTTAAGTCTCTGAGGAGAATGTAAGCTATTATTTTGTTTCTCATCCAATGCTCGGTTGTCCCATGTTGTAGCTTTTAATCTGCTTTTCTTTTTCAGGTGAAGCTCCAGAGATACTATCTGACCTAGTTTTGAATTAACATGTGTTAAAATGGTTGAATTTGACGTGCATTGGCAACTTCTCTTTTGATTAAATAAGGGGGTGGGACTCTATTCTTAACTAAATACACCACATTGGAAATTTACAGACGATTGGCATGACCTGGCTTACAGACTTTGTCACTGTTCATTGATGTAGTAATGAGTCCTCATTCTTATTGTAGTGCTTCCACATTAAGTTCATTAGCAAGTTTAACAAATTAACTTATGTGCACAGAAATTCATTAAAATGAAGACATCATGGAGTCATTAAGGTCATCTAGTCTAACCATCAACTTACCACCACCATGCCCACTAAGCTGTGTCCCTAAGTGTCTGCAGAGGACCAACAAAAAGCACTTTCTGACTTTCTTGGGTGTGCACGGAATGACTCAAACACTTGCAGTGCAAGGCCATTGCCATGACAACATGTCAGAGGTTATTAGGGAGGTAGTGGAGCCCATTACCTCACGGGATAGTCCTGCTTTGCTGACAAATGAGCATACCTTTTGGAAGAGTATACTAGATTGACTGTTGTAGTTTGGTTTTTTTTTTTTCTTTTGCTATAGTTGAAATATAAGCCTTTTATACAGCAGGAGTTTTGTTTTGCAGATGGCTTATTCAATCAGTATATCAGTCAACAAGAATACAAACCTCGCTGGGGACAGATTATCCCCAAAAGTTCCAAAGGTAAGGATTTTTCTGAAGCTACAGCCCTCATACCACTCATACTTTCATGCTCCTTTCTGGGTATAGAGCAAGACACTGATGAAAGAAGGCATTCTGCTTTCTGGGGAATGGGATCATCTGTGAAAAACTTGCCATTTGTCTGCAAATCAATGAAATGTAACCTGGTCTCTGGTTGAATAAGAAATGCTCCAAGAACATTAGCTGTCACTTCAAGGATAACTAATCATTTCACAAGTGAAACTCAGACTATAAGTTATCTGTAGGACTGTGTTTAATGTGTGGAGTGATCTTAAAGGGAGATGTACAGCTAAGAGTGGCAAATAGATGCTTTATTTTAACGTGGAGTATTTGTGACTTGAAGCATATCTTTTGAAATCTTCATCTATTGTACAGTAAATCTAAACTGCAGAATCTATCCCCAAATATTGACTACAAGGAACAAAAATGACTGTTGGGCAGCAACTGCAGGATTCAAAGTGCCAGTCACCAAGCACAGAGCCCCATCCCTAAACCTCTTGGGGAAGGGTTATGTATGAATATAAACAGACTTATCTTCCAGTAGAATATGGAATATCTTTCTAATATTGCTTCCCTGTCCTGAACAATTAAGAAATCTGAAGTGACTGGAAAACTACTTTAATTGGACGGTTGGAATTCCCTTATGTGAGAACAAATAATTGGTGCAAAGCTAACTGTTATATCCATACCATTAGCCCTTTGCTTCCCTCCCTTGGGTACAGTGCTGTTGTTTGAGTATCTGTTCTCACTTGTCTGCCTTTAGGCAGCATTGGGTGAGAGCTGAAAGGAGAGCAAAAGATTCTCAGTGTTCCCACTACTGGAAGGTTTCAAAGATAGCTCAGGCCTCATTTGTGAGGACCTGCATGCTTGAGGAACTCTGAGGATCCTTTGGAAGGTTGCTAGAATTGCAGTAGAGTACTGTATTCACTTCAGTTATTTATTGGAGCAGTCAGCAGTTTTATTTTGAATTTTACAATGTGTGGAAGAATACTAACTGGAGAAAGTGTTAAAGTTCAAAAATGATGAGTTAAGTTGCCCTGCTTTTGTATAGTACTTGACTACACGTGAAGTTCTATCCTTTCTGTTTAAGGTCTTATAACAGATGGCATTCTTTCACTCCTTTTTTTTTTTTTTTAAAGGTGATGGGGAAGACAGCCGACCAGGGATGAGAGGAGGCCATCAGATGGTTATAGATGTTCAAACAGGTGAGTAGTTATTGATTTCTTTTCTCAATGAATTTAGTTATTTAATGAGATTTTTCACATAAATGTTGCAATATATTCTTTTGAGAATGCTTTAATTTTAATTTTTGGAGAAAAATTGTACTTTTAAATAATTGTATTAAATAATCTGCTTTCTTTGCCTGGAGCATATTCCAACTGCTTTTCCCACTAGCTTCTTCCCTGCTAATATCCCTTTGGGTCTTTAACTCCTCACTGCTTTGCTAAGAAGCCAAGAACAATTGGTTTAAATAATTTGTCTTTCTTCCCCCTTTTGAGCAGATGCTTATACAGGAGAAATTAGGGATGATTATTTCCCTTATCATCTGCTTTGGAATAGCACTTGAGCAATAAATCTGACGTGCTGGAATATTCCTCATATTTTGGTTAGAGTGGCTTCTAACTGCTATTTTTGTGCAGGAAGTTCCATTTAAATATAATTTACTTGATGCTTTTTATGAAAATGCTTTCAATAGCAGTTTTAAAAAACGGTTCAAACTCTGTTTTGAAGAGCTCATAAAGAGAAGAAAGGAAGGTATAGGTAACAGTGTTGATGAACTCTGTACTCTATAATTTTCTCTAGCTATGTCTTTTATTTAATCAGATTTCTGTAGTGCGTCATTCCTGACTAAAGTGACTGTTCACTTAAGCTTCCCTGCCTGCATCTTTGCTAAACAAATAATTTGTATGAGTAATGGAGCTTTTCTTAGGAAAGAAGAAACAAGATCAGGGTTGTCAGTTGCAGAAAGGAATACAGGGTGGAAACGAGGGAGTTGGCAAAAAACGGCAGTAGCTGTCTCTGTTGTGGTCATATGGAGAGGGATTGAAGCATGTGACAGGATAGTACCTTCAAGAGTAATTTGCTAAGTCATAGTGAACAAGCAAAAATGCAGAAGTCACTGCAGTCTTTGGCTGTTACTCAGTATGTAGTTTTTGCTCTAGAGGAAGCACTCGAGTTATTTTGTATATGAAAGCAAACTTTTTTTGGTGTAAGATTCATTAGAATAAAATGCTGCTGGAGGATAGCTGGTGTCTGTCTACAAAAGAGGCTGTGAACGCTCCCTAGTGGTCTTAGTAAGTAAGTAGCAATGTCTGTTTCACAAGCATGCCGAAGAAATGCCAAGCACTTCAGTCTGGCAGTGACAGTCCTTTAGAGCTGCTGAAAGCAATAAAATGATGGTAGCATGAGTCTTCGTTTCCATTTCTGTTGGTTTTCTTAAGTCTTATTAAGCATATCACCTCTGCATTTCACTTATCATCACTCTGCTTCAATAAAGCAGTATAAAGCACAGATATTTTTTTTTTCTGTTTTTTTTTTTTCTCCCCTAATTGCTTAAAACTGGTTGGAGAGCATCTACAGAGAAAGAGTCTCAAGGTGTGAGAAGTGGATTCCTATGTCATGTTAGTCCCTTTTTGCTGCAGCTCTCCAGTGGTGGCAGGATATACTCCTTCAGAAAGTTTTTCTGTGGAGCATTTAGGAAGTTTGGGAAGTTGCCCTTGCTTTTGCTTCCAGGCCCATTGAGACTTGTAAAAGCTTGTATGTTTTTGAGATTAAAAGCTTTGCCATGTAATTTAGCTTACAAACAGGCCAGGGGAAGTTCTTGGTGCTGTTTGTATTCTTAAAACCAGCTGCTGCTGACTGCTTGAGTTTTCTTTTGAACATAGGTAGCATTTAGTGAGACTGTGGGAGTTTGGCCAGTTAGGTCAGGATGTGTTTTACAGGCTGGAATTGGTCTCCCTGGCCAGCCATGAGCAAATCAAGCATTAAGAGAAAAAGGAGCAGCAGCACACTTGCAGACATCATCCATTCCTTACAAGAAAAAAAACCAAAAAACCAAGACCAGACTTACATGAATCATTAGAATTTTATTACATAAAAGTAGCAATTTTTGGAAGCAAACTTTAATCACTTATGCCCAGGTCTGCTGTAGCTATGAATATAGCTGCAGCTGGTTCTACTTTTTGATTAACCTCAGGGAAATATTAACCAGTTGCTACTGATTACAATAATAAACATTTATTTTTACTAAGTTTTGTATAACATAGAGCCTGCCAGATGCATATATGTGTTAATGTCAGAATAGAGGAGATGAGGTTGTAAGCAGGTTGAGCTAGATCTTGAGTTACATCATCATAGTGATTCGGTCTGCTGAGTCTCTCATTTATACTCCTAGTTTCAGGTAGGGTATTGTCATACTTGGTCCAGACTGTCTTCTAGCATGTTTTGTCTTCCAGTTAGAATAGGCTGAAGGTAACTAAAAGAGCAATTATGGCATCTCTATTGGCATAAGGTAACTTGTAGTGGCGTAGCTCACTTCTGTCTTATGCATTTAATACTTACTGAAGATGTCTTGGAATAAGTAGAGTGTTCTTTGTGCTTTGAAAAACTTACATAGCATATTGAAATGAAGAGGCAGGCATTTTGGGGGTGTGGAGCTTGCCCTTCTACATGAAAAATTTGGTAATCAATAACTCTCACAGTTTTTCCAGACTTCTATTTGTATTAGTGCTCAGATGGAAATCATCTGGGTGGCAGAATTAGGAAGTTGTTCTTGGTATGCTTATAGAGAAATATTTATTATGATGCACTCCTAGTTATAGTTGGAAACTGCTGTTGCATGTGTTAAGACTCTAGACTTCAAATGAAAACAGAAGGATTATGTTTCTGCTTCTTGTGTAAGGTACTTGTCTTATGTAGCTCTCTCTAGCTCTCTGAGAGGCTAGAGAGTTTTCTGCTCCCCTTTCTGAGGAAGGAGAATTGTTAGCGTAGACAGAAGTGGGGGCTTAGATTAAAAATACAATCAGAAGCATTCCCAGAACACCTAAAGTGCAAGTAACCCCAAAGCTGCGCAAGGGCATTCTTTGTAAAGTGAGCTGAATATCAGCCATGAAAACCGTCTATGATTTATGTAGGTCCTGGTGAAATTTTCAAGCATTGAAGTGCAGGCTTGTATATAATAACGTTGCTTCCCAGATGCATTAAGTGCTGATAGAGTGATTGCCCAGTGCAGTTCCGGAAGAGAACATGTAGGCATCTGTTTAGCACTGCTTTCTTGATTAACATAGCTTTAATTATGACCCCTCAGGACTTTCTTTAGTTCAGTTATGACATGTTTTGAAACAGCAACTCTGGAAGAAAGTGAGAACAGCTAAGCAGAGTGCCACATTCAGGTTTGAAGTTTTTAATCTACGATTTAGGGGAGTCCCGTGTTTCGGATGTCTGGCTTGTAATTCCCTGGGTAAGGTGGGGTTTTTTTGTCAGCTCTTACAGAGGAGGTACCGTTTTATGTGAATTATAGTGTAGTCTCCAGAACTACGTAACTTATTTTGGTAACAGAATGATGGAGGGTTTTTTAGGATTTGAAAAGAAAATGAACTATTATTGAAGTTATTTTATTTAAAAGACTCTTTGGTAATATATCCTAATTGTTTTCAAGGTTCATCATTATTTTGTTTAGATAAAGCCACCTTATGTTTTTTGTCTCAGTTGTGTTAGCTTTGTCTGTTTCTCCAAACTATGGCAACTGAAATGTATTATAAGGGAAAATATTAGTGAAATGATCTTTATCAGTGTTTGTGCTACCTCTGTTCAGTCTCTGAAGCAAAATTAATTTGTTATTTTGGGTGTATGTTACTTTGCCTTTCCTTTTGTGGGAAGGAATTATTTCATTCTGTTAGATAAGTGAAAAGAGATCTGTAGGTTGGGAACAGTGGGCGATTCGAAACAGTGGGCACAGTATGCCATAGTATATGTAGAGATGATGAAACAGTCACAAAAGAAACATGGAGCTATGAGAAAGATGAAGCGAGAACAGCAAACATGGGAAAGGATGCTGTTTTGCCTGGGGAAAACATTGCTATCCATAAGATATTTTATTTAAAGACAGGACTTGTGTACAAGATGAAGAGATCTCTGAAACAAAACACAGATGGCTTCTAAGCTCTGAAATACAAACAGCTGCTGCATGCTGGAGGTTACTCAACTTCATGGTGCTTTCACATTTGAGAAGATGACTCTGTGTGCGTTGTATGCCTACCCAGACTAGCTACAGCCTAAAAAAATTGTAGCCAGCCGCCATCTGCACTGAAGTGATTCAGAAACTGAATGGTGGACAAGAAAATTCAACATCTGTCTGTGTATTTGTGCTCAGTGTGCTCCTTTACAGAGAGCACGATGCAGCTTCCAGACAGCTGAAGAATGATATAGTTGCTGCAGGAGATGTGGAGAAAATAGGCGTTCATTTCGGGGGATAGAATGAAGAGCAATGGACACATTGCAGCAAGAGAAGTTCTGGTTAGCTACGCAGAGGGAAAAAAAAATGCACAAAACCAATAGGAGATGATCCAGATATTATGAAGAATCCGTCCTTATAGTTACTCAGAGCTCTACAAAACCTGCTTTGTTACTGAAATTTGCTCTGCTGTAAGGGGTTAGAAAGAAGACTATGGCAGATTTCTAGAAGTCTTACATGCAAAAATATTTCACTGATTAGTTAAGTCACCAGAGTTGGAGTGTGCCTTGATAAAAAAGGGATTCTGCAGTAGGCCAAGCTTAATTTATCAGCCTGCTCTTAACAATTTTTCATTTTACATCCTGATAGGAAAACTTGCTGTGCCAGAATCCCATCAAAGATTTCATCGTGCATTGAAGACAGAGTTAAGAGAAGTTTGAAAAGCTGACTTTGTGAGCTTATCCAAGCCTAGACTGAAGCTCCTGAAGGGTTTTGGGGATTTAACAGGGACTGGAGATACTGTATGTACTCTTCTGAGAACAAGGAACTTGCAGAGGGGTTGTCTTGGACATATGTTAAACCTTTCAGTGTATGTTCTCTGATACTTTGTTGAGGAGTGTTCTGGCACCTTTTAGTCTTTTGGAGAACAAAAAAAGAAAAGAATTTAGATATTACAAAAACTGCTTGCTTGAATGAGCAAGCAGTTTAGAAATATTCATAGAACATATTTAAAAGTATTGAATTTTATTTTAACAGTAAATGTGAAGGAGATAAGATGCTGGAGGAGGCATTTGATGTCCAAAATGTAACTTGTAAAAGCTTTGGGTAGATGTAACTGCTTTCATGTTTTTCTTGTTGCCTTGCAGGTAGATATGAAAAATTCTTCCAGTCTGTCCCTAAAGCAGAACAGAACTCTGTTTTAATAAAGCAATATTGATATTGCTGTGTGACATACAACTATGATGCAAGGAAGGAATCCCTTCCTCTGCCAGAGAACAATGTTCTTCCTGCCTGCATCTTGACTTCCCTAGTGTTAATAAAGTAGAAATAATTATACCAATGTGAGACTGCTGTTTTCTCCTCAAGCTTCACACTTCAGCTGCCTGAAACCTTGTAGTCTGTCCCCTGTGTCTGATCTCCTCTTTGGTCATATGCTGATGCATTGTTTAGATGTTGTGGCAATACCAAAGAATGCTGAAGTTGTACTCTGGGTCTGTGTTAGTGAGTGCTTTCCTTGGAAAAAGTAACCCTTCCCATGAAATCTGAATTGAAAAATAGACTGGAAGGTGTGATACCAGTTGTGAAAATGAGAGTAGTTCAACTTTTGTTTTGAAAAAACAAATGCTACCCTTCCCCCCTCTGCACTTCCAACTATTTTTTTCTTATAATTTGGGAGAACAATTGTGAACTTTAGAAGTGTTGAAAAATGATTTTCCTGACATTACCATTAGCAGATGAATTTACATATTAAGAAATGTTTTTGTTACTTCTGTAATAAGATTAAAAATGATGGTCATTCTGGGTTTAGGTAGTGACAGTCTTTCTTTCATCTGGGCTACAGTTTTGTATCAAGATAAGGAAGAAATTTGGTGTACAGTTCATGTATGCTCATGTTGTTGCTGTTGCTCAGGGAATCTGGGGATGCTCACAGTTCACACTGAGTGCACCCCTTTTTGGTCCTTATACACCACTTAATTCTGTGAGCTTGATTTAGGTGAATTTTAAAATCTGAGTTTTCATCAAATTCATTCAGATTTGCTATTAAATTTCATCTGAGACAACAAAGTCTTTACAGGCAGGCATGACATTTTGGCAAGGCCCCAGTAGGATACTTAGCCAGTGCCAAATCTTTTATTTTTCTCAGCTATCAATGAAGCTGTTGTGGTAATGTGGGTTTTGTGAGCTGTGAGAATTTATGCGCACAAAGAGACCTGCTCTTAGCAGGGAACACTGGGAGCCCTGAGTCCAGGAGGAAGGGTAATTAAAGTTAATGAACCAGGGTAACCTTTCCATGGTGATGACCACTATCCTGATGGTAGGTAAGGGTCAAGGACTATTCCCGTTTTATAATCACACTTTTAGCTCTGCTTTTTAATTGGTGTTGGATTGAAAATTGGCCGTTACCTTCATAATAGATCTGGCTTGTGGATTTTAAAGAAGTTTATAAAGCTCTGTGATTCTTCAGCAGCTCATTCTTTTTGGACTTGATTTTGTGTTGTATTAGTGTGTTCTGAAGATGAAATATTTTTAGAATTCAAGACCAGACAGTGGTGTTACTGTAATGGAAGTGGCTTAATCATCTGTTGGTATCATAACTGAGGCTTATTCCTTATATGCTTCCTATGTAGGAGGCTTCATTTAGTTTCATCAGCGAGTCTGATAAGCTTTTGAACTCGCTGTGCTTGGAGTGGTTGTGAATTTAAGGTAACACGCTCTAAGGATGAGCCTGGAATGCTGACTTAAACTGTTACTGCTCTACTGACATGCTTTTGTAACATCAGATAAATTATATTATACAAGCCATTTTCCTTGAAGAGGATTTCATAACTGAAGCAAGTTTTCCTTTATAAGAGATCAACTAAATAAGAGTTTTTTGGCTGCTGTCTCAAAAATCTTTGTAGACTGTAAGTTTTGCATCAAGCAGGGGACAAACAGATTTCCCTTGTAAAGATTAATAATGACTAATGGCACCGGTGAACAAAGGAAGGGAAACTGATGATGTCTGCCTGGACTTGTACAAGGCCTTTGACACAGTCCTGCATCAGTCTCTAAATTGGAGAGAGATGGAGTTGAAGGCTGGACTGTTTGGTGGATAAAATGTATTCTTAATGGTTATAGTGCCAGGTGAAGACTAGTTGTGAGTGGTATTCTCTAGAGGTCAGTCTTGGGACCGATGCTCTTCAACATCTTCATCAGTAACCCAGACTGAGTGCACCTCAGCAAGTTTGCAGATGCCATCTAGCTGAGTGCTGCAGCTGACGCAATAGAAGGAAGGGATACCATCCAGAGGGACCTGTATAGGCTTGACCTACAGTCTGTTTATCACAGATGTTTTGTAGGTATTTGTGTTTAAAGGCATTCTTTTTTTAAAATAAAATTAATGTGTTCTTCCTTTTTTTTTTTTTAATTAGAAACTGTTTATTTGTTTGGTGGCTGGGATGGAACTCAAGACCTGGCTGACTTCTGGGCATACAGTGTGAAGGAGAACCAGTGGACTTGTATATCCAGAGATACCGAGAAAGAGGCAAGTAGTACATTCATACTGTTAATACTGTATGAATTACTGTAGAGAAAAATGCCATATTTCTAAAGTGCTTCTATATATGAATAGTGTGCCAAAATTATGAACAACAACAACAAAAAAAATCAAACTTTCAAGTTCAGAAGGCTTTTGAAATAAGACTGGGAAAATGTGAAACGGATGTGAAATTCAAGTGTTAACGATTACTGGGGGAAAGGTTTATTTCCCAGGAGTAGACTGATCAGCCAAAAATCAGTTCAGTGAGTAAAACATAAGTTAAATAATGTGATAAGATGGAACCAGGCTGCCAGATAAGCATTTCAGACCTAATGCTGGTGTTGAGGCTCAGTAGAAATTTTTTTAGCTTCTGTCAAAAATGTGAGTAGAAATGGACAACCAGGAGGTGGAAATATAGAGAACAGAGAGTAACTGCCAGAGGCCATGCAGTCCCAGGAGTTTTCATGGCATTCAAGTCATTCTCCTTGGCCTGTTTTGCTTGCTTTTTGATGTATGAAACCTCTGAAATGAATGTAAATTGGGCTACAGGAGATAACAAAAAGAGAGTTCCAACCTTTGACTCATGTAATTCTCACGACATTTCACAGAATATATTAAAAATTTCCTGTGGTTATTGTGTTCAGAGTTCATTACTTGTTTGTCAGCGCATAACTGAAGAAAATTCATTCAGTGTTGTCTTGAACAATTAAAAAGATTGAGATTCCACCACTTTTTGATACCTAAATTCAGGAACTGATTTCCCCAAGTATTTACGAAAGGCATAAATATATTTTTTTCTCATTTGAATTTTTCTGGGTTCTTGTCACTGGCTTAATTTATGAACTTAAGAACACTTAAGTATTGCCATTTTTTTCCTGGCAAGGTGTTTAGAGGTTGCAATCAAGCAGGACAAATAGCCTTAGTGGAAAATCTCACAGTAAGGCTCTTTCCCTAGCCTTTGCATCTATGTGTCATGTACAGAGGTTTTTAATGTTACTTAAAAAATGAGCAATAATGAAACTGATTGTGGTATTATAGTATCTATCTTAATAGTGCTGTATAAAGGTTTAAAATTGTCCTTATATTTCATATCTTTGTGAGTTTTTTTACTCTTAATACTTTCATCACTGCTCGCAGCTCTGTACTTCTCATGGCTTCTCACACGTTTAGCAATACAGTGTTGAAACTGGATTTGGTCCTTCAGTGCTATAGGGTCAGCTTGTGTAGCTGAAAAAAAAAGTTCTTACTGTTCACCCAAAATTAAGTGGGATATGTGTGATGTAATGATGAGGAAACTGGGATTTAACTCTTTTATCAACTTAGATCTGAAAGATAAAGCTAGACCATCTTTTCCTTTGTTCCTGAGAATAGAGAGCCAGTAATAGTGAAAGAAAACAATAATTTTAACTGCAGCCTGTTTCACTTTTTTCTTGTTTTGTAGCTACCCAGTGTGTGTTTTTTGTCTAACTCAGGATGCAATGTAATAAGGCCTTCCTGTCAAAAAGGGTGACTGTGTTTTCTTCCTGCACAAACCAGTGTGGGTAGTTCTGGTGTTTCTTTAAGGGGTTCATTTTCTGTGGTGTTTTTTTTTTTTCTGGAATTCTTTCTTATCCATTTGAGCTTCTGTAGAGCTTGGGAGGCCTGGCTGGGATGCAAGGCATGAAACAATGCCAGAAACAGCGTATGTTTTCTGAGTTCCTCGTGCCTGACTCTAGCAGGGTAATGCTGGGATGGGAATAAAAGAATATAGAAAAGAACAGCTGTGTAGGAGACAGATTTTGGAGGAAGTAAAATTAGATTGTGATGGCAGGTCAGGAAATTCAAGTGGAAGTTGGAGGGATTGTTGGCTGAGAAGAAGCAAGGTCAGGAAATTAAGAAAAGATGAAGGTTCAATTGAATGCATGGGGAACTTTGAAAAAGACACGTACTTAATATAAGTGGAGAAGTATTTAGAAATGGAGTTCCAGAATGGCTTTATGTTTAGTTATAGTCTGAAGTGGATGTCAGAAGACAACCTACAGAGGCATAGTTCAGGATTTTGGTGACTTAAAGAAGTACATTGAACTGGCTGCCAGCACTTGCCAGCAGTTTTTTTTTTTCTGTTGGAGTTCTGGATGAAACCTGATTTAGAAATGAAAAGGTCAATCTCAAATGGAGAAGTAAATTAAAAAACAAAGACTCCAGATGTTTCTCTAATAGGAACATCAACTATTCACAAACAACTTGCTGAAAGGAAATGTCTGTTGACATGGAATTTTTGAAAATATTCTAAGTAGAGTCCAATAGAACTCAGTCTTGTTTTTGTGTTATATTGTGCTTGTTCCGCTTCTAGCTATTTTATCCCATTTAATTTGTGACGCTGGTTGAATTAGCCACTGAATGTTTAAGCTTGGATTAGAAGAGAAGATGGTTGCATATTATCCATCATCATCTTAAGGGTAACACAGAGCAACTCTTTCAGAGTAATGGTACTGATAACTTCTGATGCAATGCCAGATGATCTTCATCCACTTGGCACCGTGGTACAAAGAATTTGCAGTGACCTTTTCAGTAAATGGCGTTGTTTCTATTTTTCTAAGTTTGCCAGTGAGTTGGAGAAAGGTCTCTTTGTCACCTTAAGTTGCATTTGTATTCTTAACAGTTCAACTACCAATGCTAATTTTCCACAGTCCTTCTTATCTTAGGAACAAATGCTTGCAGCAGTAGTAAAGTAACACTTGACCTATGTTCTTTTTTTTTTAAAAAAAAAAGGGTATCGTGAACTAAGGTGCAGTATTGTGTTGAGTTTCCATAATATGTACCTTAGCAGCTGATGGGCAGACCGAAATTGGAACTTCCCAACCATTCTTTCATTGTATGGAGGTAGCAAAGTTCCTTCAGTCCTTGTGAAATCATCCTCATTCATGATCGTGTCCTTGCAAAGGAATTGTACTGTGACCTCTTAAATGGATCCACAACTTCTGTCTCCTCTGTGCAGTGCTTGAGTATTCAACAGCTCTCCAAATCGGTTGGCACAAGGCATGGCCAAAGCATGTGAAGTCTAAGAGTCTTTAAGAACTTGTACCCTGAACCAAGTGGAATGTTCTAAATGTTGTCTCAAGGGTATATTAGCTGTAGTAGATTAGTGGACTTTTTCAGGATTTGGGAATAGTTTTAAAATATCAATCCTTGTCATTTCTTGAGCATTTTGGTACTAGGCCAGTGTTAATTAATAGATGAACTTAATGTGAATGTTTTGGTATCTAATATTTGTAGTTTTCAAGCGATAACTTTCTCATAGGGTAGTTTAGTGAAATGAAGTACAGAAGGACAGTTGAGGTGAATAGGCAGCTGTAGGAAGGACTTCATTTGCAGTATGTTGATAATTCTGTGGACTTACAGGATCAAAATGCTGAGATATGTTGATGGCTCTAAAGATTTAATAATTGAGAATTGGGAAGCACTATATTTAGTATGTCCATAGTATTCCTTTGCCCTATTTTGGTACCTCCTATAGACAACAGAAGAGATGCAAGATCATCTTGGGAACATATTTTACTGTTCAAAGTAGTAGCTTTTGTTGTGCGTTTGTGTTGATTCATCATCACTTGGTTTTATGCTCACACGTCAGTTCTGTGAAGGACATGGCAATTGTGTAAATGGACTAAGCTTAGGTGATGCTATTTCTCAAACTTTTAAGTGTTTCTTGACAAAACCTCTTCAGTAGCAGACAAGGTCTTTCCATGGGTTAATAGGTTAAGAGGATAAATTCTTTCTGATAATAAAGGAAAGTGTAGGTCAACAAGTGTCTACTCGTAGTAGGTTCAAAATGATCTAGAAAATTGGCATATATAGCAAGGTGACAATTTGCTGCTAGCATTAAATACTTTTCCCTACATAAAATGAAGGCTGACAAATGTAGAAGGATCTTGTGGTACTGAGAGCCAGCCTGAATGTCACCTGCTATTGAATTTCCAGTTAATTTTTCTGTATTGTATGGATGCATCGCTTTACGTTTGTTGATATGGATGCATTTTCCCAAAACTTTCAATGTCATTGCAACAGAAGCATTATATTTGTTTGTGTTTGTGATACTTACATGATTTTTTTTTTGTAAGGTGGGGTGATTTTCAAATATGTAACCTTATTGGTGTAAAACTTCTACTCTGTGCTGTTTTTAAGAGTAGGAACTGAAAATGTCTCATATATTGACCGCTTCCTGCAGATGGTGATATAATTCGGAAGATGCTATCAGTCATTTGGGGATTTTTGTTTCGTTTTGAATACAGTAATGTTTATGGAATTGAGATCTAATACAATGAATCTGCCATGTCTCAGTAGTTCTAGTTGTTAAAAGTTGCTCAGTTGTAAGAAATTCCTGGTACCACAAAAGCTCACAGGGAGAAAGCAGCTGTCCCCAAAAGCCTGCAGCAGAAACTTGGATCCTGCAGATGTAGCTCTGAGCCAACTTCTTAAATAGTGGAAATGCCTACAAGAGTAGGGACAAGGGGGGCACATACTGAAGTGAACACAATGTAATGCATTCTGGGCAGGTCCTGAGTATTACATGCTACTGTTTTATTTCCCATCCTGCATAGAAGTGTAATGGTTTAAAACTGCTCTAGACAGTATTCTCCAAAATGTTAAAGAATTTCAGATAATTTTGACTAGTTTCTTCAGTGATATATAGGCGTCCTAAAACAAAAGTATCCTGTTGCAGAGTATCTTATATAAAAAAAAAAAAATTAGAAAATGTTTTCCACTTGTAAAAGTAACTTTTTTATTTATACTAGTTTGTGTGCTTAAGAGCTCTGTCCTCCTACTCTTGTGTATTTCTTTTAACTGAAATTTTAAAATAGAAAATACAATCTTTATTTTATAAAGCTCCGAGTCTTAAGTTATTCAGTTCCATTGTGGAGTGCCCATAGTTCTTGCTTCCAGCGTGCAGAAAGTGCAGGAAAACCAGCCAAACTTCAGTTATTCCTAACACCAGATGTTTCAATGTGTGGAGATCCCTTTTGGATATT